GCACGGTCCATACCTGCTGCCCGCTCCCTCCGGTACCTCACAGCTCCGCTCCGTTCTCCCCTCCGCCAACGGTCCGGCGCCGAGGGGGGAGATAAGTGGGGAGGGTTTAGGAGGCGGAGTGGGGGGGGGGTGGAAGAAAAGGGGGAATTGCCTGCGCGCGAGCCCGCGCGCGCCCTCCCTTCCTCGCGGGTCGCCTAGGAAACAGCGGCCCGGCTGTTCGGGTCGGGGAGCGCGGCGGGAGGTGGGGGGGGCGCGCGCTCTCCCCGCGTCACGTGCGCTTCGCCGAGCCAATCGCAGCGGCGGACGGCGGGCGCTGTAGTACTACGGGGCTAGGGATGGAGCGAGGCGGGACCTCACTCGTGACCACGCCCCTTCTCCCGGTTCTGCCCTCCTCTAGCCTAGAGCCGCCGAGTCGCGATAGCCGCCGACCCCTCGGGACATGGCCCCGGTGAGCCCCGGTTGTGCCCGCGGGGCTCGAACACAACGGGATCGTTACAGCGGGGCTGTGTCTGGTTTGTGTGGAGCCCCGGGTTACATAAGCGAGCGCGGAGAGCAAAGGCAGGATCACGGTACGCACATTGCGCGCCTGAGTCGGGTGAACACCGGCACAGCGCAGGGCACCCGGCTGCTGCGGTGAGACGGGGGTTAGCAGAACAAGGTAATTCAGTGCTAAAGTAAATGCAAAAAAAAAAGGACGGAGAAAAAAGAAAGAAAACCAAATCAAAAACCCCCAAACCCCCAGGTTTAAGAACGTGCTTTAAAGGGACAAAATAAACCCTAGAGATTGCAATTCCAGTTTTATCAGTTCCCTCCCATATGCCGAGCTGCTGTGGAATAGCTGGCACTGGCAGCAATCGGTTATCACTGCCTGCTAGAAGCTCAGTGTTGCAAAATCCAAGTCAGCATTATGATGACTGGTTACATTTGCTTTACCATGTAAAAGTGAGTATCTAAATTCTAATGATATATGTACCTTTAGTATCTCAAAATTATTTAAGACTACTGGTCTATTTTAGTGCTCGTGCTATACTGTCCCCGTGTGCCGGTTTGTAATAGAGATGTTTGAGTTCTGACTTTTTAGCTCTGAAATTACTGACATTTGAGAGCTGACATTGATGAGCACTGTATCTGCCACTGAGCTGTGAGCAAAAATTACTGAGAGCTCCGTGGCAGATACAGTGAGAACCCGCAGTGAGAACTTTCAAGTTGCATTACATTTTACTTGATAGTTTAGGGGTGAAACTTGGAACTAAAAGTGCCACAGAAGAAATCAGTGAGCACACCAATGAAAGAATAGTGCTGTGGGTGGTTTGGGGTTTGGTTTTTTCAAGCTTGATAGCAATTTTCTTAACACAAATATCTTCTAACATTTACTAATTCTCCCCTGTAAGCATACACAAGCTTGAGACTGGAATCTCTACCTCAAAATTACAAATCTGTGCAATGATGTAGTAGTTACACTGAAGAGAAGCCTCGACTGAAATGTAGCTTTGCCATCTTCTGTACAAAAATCTCATGACAATGGGAGTTTCAGGTGGGAATTTACAGTTGGTTGCAACTACTTACAAATCTGGAATGAAAAGGTTTCGCTTAAATTTACTGTAATATCACAAACTGTGATTTCAACATTGTGACAACTCTTTTGCAAGCTGTTATAGTACATAAGTACTCCTAGATATGTGTCAGTGGATCGAATCAAAATGCAAATCTACATTTCTGCTGTAGGCATTCCTAAGACAAGAGGTCTCAGTTATTTGTTGTCATTTCAGAAAACTGTAATGGAAGGAATTTTGAACAACTGTATTCTAAAACTTTACCTGTCAGTCACAAAGACGTTGAGACTTGTGACTTGGCATCTGCTTCCACTGCTGTCTTTTATCAGAGTTCACATTCTGGCCATCTCGACAGACACTTCCAGTGTGTAAATTCGAGCAGCATGTTGTCCCTGCACAACTTTGGTGTAATGTCTCATCTCAAATTCTTCCTTATTGAGATCTTCATTTGTTTCAGGCCATTTGACAGATTTTTTTCTGACGTCTGATAATTTTCTGTGCTAAAATCAGTTGTGAGGGAAGGGAAGGGTATTAGAAGTTATCATTTAGGTAAGAAAATAAACAGACTCCTTGTAACAAGACTGCAGGATAGTTCCTCACTCTGGGAAGAAACAGGAGGTGTAGACCACTAACTGCTTAGTAGGTATCAAGGACACATCTTAGAAGGAAGTTTGTATTTAATTCATCTACTAAGCAGATAGTGCAAAACCAATGAAGGTTTCCTCTTCATCGTTTTCATGACATAATTATTTGAGCTCACTATTGGGGGAGAATGAGATTTTAGCTCTTTTGGATTTTAACAGAAGACTGTATAACGCAGTAAAATCCCATCCTTGCAGACAGCCCTAAGGTGCAACCTAATCTAAATGAACAAACAATGTATATTTGAAATAGCCGTGTGACTGAAATGATCTTCAATTTGGGGGAGAATTTATACAGAGATTAATTTTAAGGAGGTTTGAATAACAAAGAACCATAAACCAAACCCCAAATCATTATTCAGTGCTTTCTTTTTATCTGCATGTGCTCATGAAGATTTCCAGTTATCTTTTGGGGATACTGCATGTCATAGATGCTTAGAATAGTCAGGCATTAAAAACAGAGGAGAATAAGTGGGAAGAAGGATTCTGTTTTAAGTATTTGGGGAGTAAAGAACACAGGTTCATTTAAAGACAAATCTAATGACTTCAGAAGATTTGTTTCCAGCCAGCCTCCAATATGGCCAGATTTTAGCAAGTATTTCTGCTGAAAAGATGAACCCATTTCAGTTTTGTGTCTAAGTGCTCAATTTGTCCAGAAATCCAATAGCAGCTCCCCCCCCCAAAATGTATTCTTTCCCATAGTGTTTTAGTGCCCACAAAGCACGAGGATGTGTGGATTTTCCTTGTGTGGCTCACTTACCTGTGGGTTCTCTGCTACAGAATAGTAAGCCAGTATTTGTAGCATTCAGTGTGACACATGTATACATGTGGAGTTTACACTTCATTCAACAAAGTACGTGAACATGCTTTAATTTAGTAATTTAGGATATGGCAACTCTAACCATGCGATGCAAATCCTTGCCTGAACTGAAGCCCTTGACTATGAAAATAAAGATGCCTAGGACCTGGTTGAAGAGGCTGGCATAATAATATTAGTATGGATCAGTATACACAGGTGACAGTTCAGTGTGTAAACTGTAATCCTTCAAACAATGTACTGTTATTACTGAGATCAATTTAGACAACAATGATATGGGGAGAAGGGTAGAACTGATCTGATTTTTTTCAACAAGCCAGCACAGAATGAAATAGGCTATATTATGACTTTCAGATTAACATACTGATGTAAACTTTCACAAACTCCCAAGCTTCATCCAAGTTAAACAATGAAGGGCATTAATAGAATTGGACTCTTAGTTTCTGCGAGCATAGGGGACAGGCAATATTTTACAAGACACTGAGTTTGTAAAGTGTTAGGGAGCTGCGCAAATGATCCCTTGTGTTTCTAGTACCAGTTCAGTGCACAGACAGGTGTGATCAAGTTAGAATCACGTTTAGCAACAATTTATGCTATAGCATTTAATATTCTTTACAATCTATCATCTTGCTTCTCTAATGATATAGAGTCCAATTTATTCTTTTTTAGGACACTGATACATATTTGAACTTCTGCTCAGAGTGCAAACATCCCAGAGGAAAACCTTTGCTTACAAATACATGACTCCCTAACGATACACTTTTCAGTCTGAAAAAAACCCCAAACCAAAAGCCACAACTATCTATGCTGTCAGCAACACCACTTTTGAAAGTGATCTTCAGACCCAGATTGTCAGAACTTAAAGAGCAGAATTTTACATATGCACACACATCCTCTTGGATTGTTTAGGAAGTATTTTCACCCCTTTCCATCACCACCCCCCATTTCCCTGAATAAAAGGAGGAAACGAACAAGAATGTTTGAAAATTAACAATTAGAAGTCTCATAGCCTGCTTCAAACCGTCTTCTTTAGTTCAGCTTATAAGCAATTTGTAGTACACGTAACAATTAGTCTTAGTCCAAACAGCTGATGAGGTGCATACAGCACATCCGTGTAACACACTGACGCAGAAGAAAACTGTCAGCTTTCTCTAAGGAATTTTCTGCCGGATAGTTGGATTCAATCATCTCCTGCAAAAGTTCAACTTACACCAGTAGCAGCACCAGGGAGATGATGGAGATGCATACTGACAATAAGGAAAGGAGATCTCCTTTTTGCAGTAGCAAAATCAAGTTACTTTGTCTGTTCAAGCACCCATGTCCTAACTAAATGCAGTAAAAGAGCTAGTCTGAAATACAGGTTATACTTCATATTTGTATTTTCTGTTATGAGAGCTACTTGGTATTACACAGTTTTGTGGAACATTCCGACAAAAGGGAAAGTAAATGAAAAAGGACTGCTAGCTCCAATGAAGGAAAAAATTACATTAGATGTTTGACTGCTGCACACTTTTATGATGCAATTTTTACATACTCCAGTGTGTGAATGCTTTGAATTCAGCAATAAATCGTAGCACTGGTAACCTTAGAAAAATTTGCAAGGGATTTGTGAGCATAACAGGGTGTTACCCTGTGCTGGATTTGGCCTCTGCATGTGTGTTTGTCTTTATTGTAACCTCACCCACATTGCACTATATGTAAACTTGGAGACTTTTTAACAGCACATAGAGAAAATTCAGCTCTTGGCTGCTAAAAATAACCACTTCCAGGATGAGATTCCTTTGAAAAACAGGATTTGAGTTCTGAAGTGAATCACACGGGTGTTTCTTTGTGCCACATGCTACGTTAACCATACTTGGTTGTGTACACAGAGCAAGCAAAGTTGCGTATCTGTGAGACAGCCCAAGAGGACAGCCTCTGGGTGGGGATCCTGCTGTTACAGCCCCGTGTCACAGGGAACTGCCATTTCAGACTTTCTTGTATGGACAGGACACTTGAAGAGCTAGAGAAGCCATGTGAGGTCCCATGAAAACAGAACTGTCTGCTTATACAGTAAGTACAAATGCATCATACCTTTTGCAATGGGCCTCCTCAGAAAGTTGCCTTTCTATTACTAAAAGCTAAAGTACAGACAATTATTTCTCATACAGTTGATGATTTATTTGATCACTTAATGGGAAAAAAAATCTTTCTTCCAGTATAGGACAGTTTGCTTAAACATTTACCCTATGTACACCTTAAAGTATAATTAAGGCAAAAAAGAGCAAACGTTAAAAAAATATCTATCATATTAGGTTTGTTCAGTAACCTAGTTGGTATGCTAAACCTTGACCATACTTTTGAAGAAATCAGAATATATCAATGTTAGATAGTTATAGAGTTGGGATGTCTATAGAATAAGTTTCTTGTTAGCAGTGTCAAGTGAAGACTGCTTTCTGCCCAGGCAGCGAGTTTCTATTCCATACTTTAAAAACAATGGTACAAGTCTTGGCCTTGCTGAGTTCGGCTAAATTTAGGGCCTATATTACTACTTTCACCTGACACCAGGACATGAGAAACAACTCATGTGAAACACACACATTCTCTCCAAGAAATTAATGTTCTTGAGTTGTGAAAGGCAGGAATTTCACCACCAAGATGTTACCTGATTGAATAATCACCAGTGTAAGGACTGATTCAGTTGTATGTACCACCCTTCAAGGTACAAATGTCATCTAATTATCTATCCAGAAACAATAATTTAGATTGCCTAAAAGCATCAGGTATCACAATACTGAATAAGCATGGCAGTTTGAAAAAAAGTACTCATTTTTTACACATGCTTTAGTGTGACTTGGGTGCTCTTCTGTAGTAGTGCCCTTAGGAGATCACTGAACTTAACAGTAGGCTTGAACATCTGCCATTAACTGTGAATTAATGGAACTTACATATAACATATTACTGTCAAGTACAACAAATGTCTCAGCAGAAACACTGCATTCCAATAGCTGTTTCTTCAAAGAAAAGTCACTTGGGTTAAAAATGATGTGCTAAATGTACATGTTTGTCTTTAGGTGCCGTTTTAGAAGACTAGCCTTTGACCAAGAAGTGTTGTCGGAATAATATGCGAACAGGTAATTTCCTCCAAGCCTTCACTTGGATGTGTACACAGATATAATTAGAACTCTTTAAAACTGCAGTGATTTGACAGCTGCCATTGGGATTGTCATAACTGCTGTGTAGGGCTGTCATCACTTACTAGTCAGCAAACCAGAGTTCACCAGTCGGTGGTACAAATTCTGCAAGGTGTTTGCTTTGATCAATGCTACTATTCATGATTGATGAGCATACAGTCCAAAGTTGCTTCTAAGTGAGGAAGCATGCGCCAGCCCCTTTATCTTCTGTCAACATTTCCCACTCCTCCCCCTTCCCTTTTGGAAAGTAGCAGACTTCAGGATTAGACAGTCTGTAGTATTTTAGCCTCTGGACTAGGCAAGACAGCTGAGTCAACACGTGCATTACCAAGGCTGGCTTGGTTCTTTGGGGGTTAAGGTGGTGTTGAGCCTTTATTTATCTTTCTTTTTAATAGATAGGACAGTCAGGTTACAAAAGTTTAAACACAAACAGACAAGATAGTTTAGGGACAGGTTTTCAAGCAGTGCTCAAAAGAATAATGGAGACTCAGCGTATTCAGAGGCTACTGTTACCTCTGCCAGTTTTAAGTATTCACAGCCTAGTCGTAGAAAGAACAATCTTGTTTCGTTCTTCTTCACTTCTCCTCCCACCAAACCCCTACCTTTCTGCAAAGTAACTTTGGTGCCCTGCTCCTCATTATTTTATCTCTCACATAGAAGGACATATAAAAATACATACATACACATTACATAGAATATATAGAGTTGATAAAGTTTCTACAGTTGTATTAATTGAAAAGCTAAATCTTTTTTAGTTTTTTGTGTAATTGCCCATTGTCACTTGACTTATTAAAACGTTTCTATCTTGATCAGGTAGCCTGAATGTAGTACACAGTTCACCTTCAAAGCATACAATTTGCATTTCTAGATTAATATAATGTATTGTCTTACCTAATAAAGAATCTTAACACATTCACTGACATTCATGTCACTGGGTTTTGGCTTGTACTGAACGCTTTTGATTCTTCAGTGTAGTCTTCTGCATCACTGACTGTAAATTCAAAGGGAAAACTGTTGCTTTCATGCTTTCCTTTCTATAAATAGAGCTGTAGCTTTCAAATCTGATCCAGACTAACACATTTCAGTAAAATGGGTATGGATACAATAATTTATATTTTTTATTGTATTAAACCCCACTACTACCAGTAATTAATATTTTTGTTTATTGTTGGAGTGTCCCCAATTTTCTTTTATTCTCTTTCATATTTCTCTCATCTACTTTATACTGGCATTTTCAATAGTATTAACAAAGTAGAACTAATGAAAAGCACAACTGTATGGAAAATGGGGCACCTGATCTACACAGACAGTTCTTCAAATATCCCATTACTGGTAAAATTAGGGTTACAATTTTTCCCTTAGCACTGGAAAGAAGTCTAGCTCTAGAAAGAAATAGCCTGTAGAGAAATTGTCTGCAATTACAATCAGAAGGGTTTTGAAGGCTTCCTAGGCACTTTTTGTTCTCTCTCTCCACTCCTCTCACTTTTCCCTAATAGGCCTAAGACAGAGTGCCTGAGGTATTTTGCCAGAACAGAAATGTCTGGTTGGGCTGCAGGGCTGGTCCTTAATACACAGCTCACAGCAGAACAGTGAGAGAATCGTTCTCCCAAATGTTCTGGGACCTGAATGACTTGAGGCATTTAGTTTTCTTCAGTGCTACACCACTATGCCAGAATGAGACAGGCCTATTTCTGCATAAAGATGAAGAAATAGAACTACAAGGCAGGATTTTAAGGAGGTTAACAAGTTCTCATTAATTCTCATGAGAATTTCTCTGAAGGCTTTCCACGAGCTGTCTAGAAGGATCTTTCTGTGTTGCCTACCTCACTTTTCCACCTGGTAGAACGTCAACAACACTTAACTCCCTCAGATGCTTAAAAGAGTTTAGAGGTCAAAGTTCCTTCATTTAAGGAAGGATGTAGCCTTCAGTTGCATTACACTGTCACAGAAGTTCCACTGTTAGGTTTGAATAGACTAAAATAAAACACAGTTCTTGTTTAAAATCCTTCTTGCTTTTTTTCTGTTACCTTTTTATTCCTATTGTAGTTATACTGTTATGCATGCAAAATAAGATAAAAAGTCTTTTGATAGTGACCTTGCAGTAAATTAATTGCCAGTAGAGAAGCACAGAAAGCGTCAGAGTTAAGATTAATTTCCATTTACCTTCTAACAGGGTAGAGCAGAACAGACATTTCTGTTGTGCCACATCCCGAGCAAGTGTGACAAGGTCAAACATGAACAGGAATTCAAACATGATTCATCGAATGGTTTGTGTTGGAAGGGACATTAAAGCTCATCCAGTTTCAACCCCCTGCCATGGACAGGGACACCTTCCACTAGACTAAGTTGCTCAAAGCCCCATCCAGCCTGGTCTTTCCAGCCTTACTTCCCCCCTCCTTCAACTCATTAATTTATCTACACACATGCAAAAAGGTCCAGCTACCATTTGGGTGCTAGCAGTTGGATGACATGACCATGAAACTGAATTCCTGTTGAGCTCTGTGGTGTAACTGCCTTCATCTTAACGTAAGGGTTAAGGATAAAACGATGTAATGTAACTCACCCTTCTATGTCAAATATGCCCTCATACAAACGGAAGAATGTATGAAAAGCCAGGAGAATGGAATTACTAGTGATGGTCTAGAGGACAGCAGGATGTGTGATGGTCTTGTTGCATAGGGTTAGAAGTAGCAGGTATTATTTTTAATAGTAGTAGGTATTATTTTTAAGCACAAAATGGGCAACTGCTGCTACAAGTGCCAACAGTAGTATCCTGTATTTGGGGTGTTATTAGAATGCCCAATTGTGTTCAACACACGAACAATTCATACAGTAAGTTTACTGAGGTAGGAAAAAGCCTTTCTGAGATCTGTGGAAATGACACTGTACCAGGCAGTTTTCTATGTAAGTGACACTTCATAGGCTAGCTCCTCCACTGGGTGGGAAAACCTGGGGTGGGAAAACCTGCTAGTCTCCTACTGTGCTATGATTCAGCTCTTAACACAGTCTGAAGCAGGCTCAAGAGTGTCCTGGTCCACACCTGAGACACTTGTGGGTTTATCTGTACCAACTGATTCTCTCCCAGAAGCTAGTTAAGCTAAAGATAGTTTGTGCCACTGGAACAGAACAAACCTGACTTCCTAGGGGTCACCATGTGAATCACTCAATACAGTTTGTGGTCATGAAAGCCGAAAGAAGTAATGGAGAACCCAAAATTTCCTCTCATTGCAAGAGAAATTTTGCAGGTATTAATAAAATTTAGGTGCTTCATGTCTGATATAGTGATAAATTTATGGTCTTTTTTCATATCATTACACGAAACAATTCTGCAAGATAGGGAGTGTTAAATGTAGCTGTCCTGGAAGGCAAGACTGATACATTATTTGCTCATAGGGTGGTTTTGTTGGTGTGGGAGGGGTTGTTCGGGAAGTTGTTTGGTTTTTCTGGGGGAGGTGGTGTGTTTTTGTGGGGGTTTCTTGTATCTTTTTAAGGAAGCCACCCTCTCTCCCTAAAAGACTGATTAACATCTCCTTTCACTGATAAAAACACAGAAGTCTCCAATTTTCTCTGTGTCTGTTTTATTTTTAAGATCATGAAGAACTCTGTGGCACCAGTTATGGAGCTTTTTGTCTAAATGGAGGGATTTGTTATATGATTCCTACTGTACCCAGTCCATTCTGCAGGTCAGTGAAACTAACGCGTGTGTGTTTAAGTACTGGCCAGTAGCTGTCTAAAGACTGTTTCTCCAGTTTGCTTCTCTAAGGAATTATGCTTAAAATGTTATAAAAGAAAATACCTATTAGCTATGGCTGTGCCATATCCAGTAATTCATGCTCAGATTACTTATCTAGTTTGCAGAGACATGACAATATGAGAACAATAAATGTGTATACTCGGTGTATATTTGTTTGACAGGTGCAACAGTACTCAGTTACGTATGCATTCATATGCTCTCTATATTTAGAGCCATATTTCCTCCTCTCATTATAATGCAGAAAGGAACAAAATACCCTTTGCCTCTCCGAGGATAGACTGTAGGAAAGGCATTCAGAAAGGCAAAGTATGTTCCCTGGTTTTCTTTCAGATGAATTACATTGCAGAAATTCTTGTAACATAAAATGGCTTGACCTGAACAAAATGAAGAGGCACAAAAAGGAATATTATCTTTCAAGGGGGGTAAAAAGAATGTTATTCAAGACATCCTGTGTTCTCTGAATCTCACTGAAATACTCAGAGGGCAGCTTTACAGTGACAGCCAAAGACTACTTGATAAAGAAACATCAAGGCAGCAAATATAGACATTTCTTATACCATTCATTTATGGGACCATTCTTTTTGAACCCATGTAGCACACTGGAAAAGAAGTACTTCTATTTTGCACATGGATACATTTCCTGCACATATACAACCCAATCCTTTTACTTTCTCATTTACCAAGATATAAGAAGATGCTAAATTAAATTGTAATTTTTCATGGTTCTGCATTTCCTAATTCTGAGTTACCGTTCCTCAGAACACATTATGGTTAATTTAAAGGGTTTACTTAACATAATAACAGGCATTCAGACATGTATTACATACACTAAGGATATTACCTTTTCTTCTTCTGGGGTAACTTCTGCTCCCTCTTCAATCTTGAGCTATAACTAATGATAATTGGATCAAACAGTTGAAGGAGGAAACAAAAATCTTTTCTAAGATGCCTAATCTCAAAGTATTTCTTTCTTTTGTTTGGGACAGTTCAATGTAAACGTTTAAACTCAAGCCTGTAAACTCATCTGGTAAATGAGAGAGAAGAAGCAGTTTTGTGCTAAATGCTCAATGAAAAATACACACAGTGCACCACTGTCATTAGGCATATTATCCAATGTCACACAGTGAATCAGATCCAGAAGTGAGGGTAAAGCTCAGAAGTGCTGTATGATGATGATGATTTATTCTAACTGCTAAACCTTGCAAGCTTATGCAATGTAAAATGAATACTACACCCACAAAAAGTAAAACGTTGAAATTTGCATGTTCTTTTTCCTAGAAGGAATCCCATATTACAACATTAACATACTTCGATGAAAATGCAATGGTTAGACTAAACAGCATCAGTTACACGATTTCAAAGCACCCTCTCAACTGTTGCTAGACTGTGTTATGAGGAAGGTGTATTTGATGCAGTGACTGTAAATATCAGGTAACAAATGCTCAGAACAATACATTCTTCAGGAGCACAAGCTAGTCACTATGGATAATTTCCACTTTAAAAGGGCTCCAAATGAAGAAATTTGTAATTCAGGTACCAGAGGATTTTATAATCTGCTGAAGCAGAAAAGCAACATCCTCAGAACACTTCTGTTATACTCAGGCAATCTTACTGCATTTAAATTGCCAAGTATTTTTCTTCTGTATCTAGTGGTTGATTCTGAAGTTATATGGGTTTAAATAGCAGCGTTCTATTTAAGCATGTCCTCATTCTAAGCATGTTCCTTAATCAGTCAGAGAAGGCTAATTATAGATGAGAAAGGTTTTGTTTACACACAGATATCTTGGTAATCAGCAGTGATGTGAATAGAAACAACAGAAAAAATGCATCCCTATTCAGCAGAATTCAGAGAAATATTTGGTGCTTTGGAACTTCAGGGCTGGCATCATCCTGCAGTTGTGCAAAGTTTCCTTGATGCAGACTTATGCCAAATCCCCCCTAAAGCTTCCAGGTGTCCTCAGATTCTCATTTCCCACCAACAGAAAAACTGGGTCACTTTCAGAATCAAAGGCTGAATGGTCATTAGTACAGCATTGATTAATGGGGGGAATGGAGGAAGAACAGACTAACAAACTGTAAAAATACCTTAAAACACGTTTACCTTGACATGCTACTTGTTTACACAAATGAGTTTGTGCTAAACACAGTTAGCCCAGATTACTTGATGTGACATCATTGCAAGTAATTTCGCAATGTAACAACCAAAATTGCATCATTCCTCAGAAATCTGCTTTTTGTAGCATGGTAACAAATCAAGAGGCACTGCTTACTTTTGGAGTTTCAGTTGCTTTTACCATTCAGAAATGAATATATGCACAAGGTGGAGATTTAACAGAAATAAAACATTAGCTGACCCACCTTATCCTGTGCAACATCAGCAGATTTTAAATAGAGCTGATGTGCGTTAGAACATGAAGCTGCTCAGCTGCCATCTTCTCTCATCCCTTCCCTAACACCGAGTTCGTGCTCTCAGCAGCAGAAGACACACCTGCAACCATGAACAAGATGCACTTCAAACCCAGCAATGCTCAAATGTACTAAACAAATGCACAGCAGAATGGAGAAGGATGGAAGAGCAGCTGCCTCAGGTGTATCATAATACATGAAGCTGAAAGCTGTTTGCCTCAGCACCCAATGCACAGCTGTCCTATTAATTAATGCAGTGCAGAATTAAGCAAAGATATTGTTCTCTGAGGGGAAGCTTTGCTACTTCCATTTTGTCTTACAAATGGCTGATTTCTGAGAGCCCTCTTTATTTCAGACAAGTACAGATGATACAAGGCCGTGCACAGTTCCTCTGCTTCTGAGGGTAGTACACACAGAACTTCATAGTGACTGCTGTCCTTTTGAGGACAGGATCATACTCCGCAGAAGGCAGTGCATTCAGGCCCAGTACTGCAAGAGAAAGAGGCACTTTGGAAATTTCCTTGGAATTCCAGTGTATAGTTAAGGGCTATCTCTACTTTCCCCTTCCTTTGCTTCTACGCCAATCAAATCTCTCCTCTATCTTTCCTATATTAATCCAGTAAATCTTGTACAAATTCTTTCCATCACTTTCTCTATATCTCATCCTTGTCAGGCTCTTTCTCTGAGATGGGTCCTTCATTCCATTTTCAAACATCCCCACAAATGACACACCTGCTGCGCTGCCAGCCTTCAGAATATACCCACTGCAAGCTGCCAGTGAAGCGCTTCCCACTCATCTGGCCTTTTCTTCTTTCTCTGCCTCCCAAACGACACCTTCACATACCCCATGCTCTTCTGAAAACAAAGTGTCCAATCAGTACTTTTCAGTTTTGCTTTTAGCTTGAAAGGTAGGAACAAAAGTCAGAACTCACACCAAAAGTATAGCCAAAAAAAAAGCCACTATTAAGATCTACCTTTAATGGGACATAAAATATAAAATGGAACATTACAAGTTTGAAAAATATGACTGATCAGAATTAATATCACTATCAGATACACTAAAGCTTGCCGCATAAACTCATAGCTAAGGAAGTACTAGGGGAAAGAAACCCATTCTTTAAACTTCTCTCGAGTGGTAGCATTTTTGGTTAACTCCTTATGTATATGAATACAGCTTCAGAGTAACAGTTTGGAAACTCTTCTGAACAGGGAATTTTTTTAAAGGCTGCTTAGGGCTTCCAATTAACTTTGCCATTGCTTATTCATTTTGGCTTTAAATTCTTTTTCATACTTGCTATGAAAAAGATAGCAAGTACATACATGATGCCCCTATAAGTGTATGAAATAGGATGATTTTTAGGAGCCTGCTACAGATGGAAGGTTATGGTGATTTTGAAGCTCTCAGCCATGTAATCTGAATTGCTTTGACAAGCAGATAATTTTTCAGCTGTCTTTTTCTGCTTAGAGCTTTATATTGACATGCAAATAATTTTTATATGAAAAAGCATCCAGGTTTTTCCTGAATAAAGGAAGACTAAACGAAAACTAAAATCAAGACTCTCATAGTACAGTCTTAAGCAATGGGAGTCTGCATGCAAATTTGACTCAAATCCTACTTCCATGTTTAAAGTCTGTCAGGTACTCGCTTATGACACCCACCTTAGAGTCTGCAAGAGAAAGAAACCTTCTTACATAAATCAGACACTTGCACTGTCTCATGAACCACATCTGCAAATGAGACAGCAGTAATGCCTTGTGTTATTGGAGGGCTGCTATGCTTACATTTTAATTACTGATCAGATTGTAAAGGATCAATATAATTGCAGAGCCACTGGTCACCTCCTGACACCTTATCCAATGCAGTCTATTTCTTTCTACCTTGCATTGATGCTGATAAGGGTAGTTTTGATTAACAACGTATGTTGAAAGATTCTGTGGATTTCTTTAGATGTATTATGTTAGTGTTTTGTCTCCAGCACAGCCCCTATGATATTTTTGTATACAACAGTTAAGGCTGGCTCATCTCATTTGACAAGAGGCGGGTGTGTGCAGGCACCTAGGAAAGCAGAAATCTGGATGCTATCTGAAAATGGAAGTTTCTAGTCTCACAGCTTTACCTCAAATATTGGAGGCTGTTGTCTTTTGAATCTGATTGAACAATAAATTGAAATTTCTTAGAGGAGAAAAGACCTTTATTCAATTTTAGAAATCAACTTTGGAATGCTGCATAGTTCCTTTTAAAGCCAACAGACAGCATGTGCCAAAGCAGGAGACTAAGAACATGCACATGTTGTGCAATACCTGGCCTAGTGGCCAGAGGATTCAGATTAGCACAACTCCGCTTTACTATAGCCTAGAAGCAGACTTCTGGTTTTTGCACTCATTCATTCAAGTGCAGAAGCACATTTGCCTGCCACATTAACAACTACAAGTGTGTCATGGTTAACTTGTGCTCTACTTTCTGGCATCCATTCTAAGCAAGATAAACTATGAGTTGCTATTGACTTTTAAGGCTGTGTATAGTAAGACTGACTGCCTCTATGAGACACTGTATAGATATCATCAGTCTGGATTATGTTCACAGGCCAACTGCTTGTTAGAGACTGCTTTTCTGTCTTGTTTACAGTCAATGTGACTGTAACTCCACTGAAATTATTAGAGCTCTGCTAATGCAACAGGATAAATGAGTTCCACTGCTAACTATCGAACTCTGCTTAGTTTCTTTCTCACTGGTTTTAGGAAAGGACTTACAGTAGAAACTTTTCCCTTTTTCACTTGTCTTAACCCATCAGCTGCTTCTACATTGAACATAGTACTTTCCCAGTCCATACATCAGCATTAATGAGTTCATAATGAATATCTGAACACCTGGATTTTCAGAAATGCCCATACTGTAGCAGAGCCTGTTGGTAGGGTCATATTAGCTACAATTTTGTTTAAATGTTACCAAGAGACACCTCATTTCAATTTTCCCATTTCTATGCAAACCTCCATCATTTCCAGGTTACATGAAAGTATTTTCTACATAGCATGGAATCACTTTCAGCAAACATGTCAACAGGTCTACCTAAAGAAAGTAATGGAAAGCTTTGTAATCCTTAATCCATTGCACACAGATACTATTGGACTGGCAAGTCATGGAAACCATAGTTCTAAAACACTTTTTCATTACATCCAGGGAGAATTAATATGTTCAGCACTCGGGACATTCAAGTTTTATACGTTCTTCATTAGTGTGGGTCTTTTCCTGTTTGCTATAACCTTGGGCTCATACTGGCTATAGTTTCCCTCTTACAGTCTTAGGCCTTGTGGCTTCTTTCCCTCTCAAAGACGTGTGACTACCTTAAACATCTGGTTCTATTTTCTGTTTAGCAGAAAGTGGCTACAATCTCAGTGAGCTTTTTGCGACACTGTCATCACATTCCCAGTTTTTCCTGTGGTTTTTACCAGGACATGAATATAGCTTCCATGCACTGCTCATGCCAACTCACATATCACAACAGTTCTCTAAGCCTGACCTTCTACCTAATCCTATATGCAACTCTCTCCAGGCAGGAGGACTGCCTTTTCTTCCTCTTGCTTCAGTTTTCTCTTAGGCTACTGACTTACCCTTTACACTCATTCTCTAGAACTTTTCCATAAGCCTTAATCTGATGCCAAAACCTATTTATTTTTTCTTCCTGTATCATTTTAGACTTGCATTATTCTCCAGTTTTCATTGGTATTCAAGAATACTTCTATGAATTGTATATTCCATTTTCTGTCCCTGTTATCCTATTCAGCTCTCCAAAGCATTTCTCTCTTGCTTGCCAGAGAACAATGCCCCACTCAAACTACACTTCTATTCTTAAAGTATTCTACAGTATTTCAGAAATAGGCCACTGAAATGCCACTATACCTACAGTAAATATCTGGAATATTATCTCCAGCAATCAGAGCAGTCTGCCTACCCTTCCTTCTCCCAGCAGTCAAATATAGTAACTCTGAAAAGTCTCACATCATCCTTAGCAAATGGTGGCTGTCTGATCACTTGCACAGCTTTAATATATGATGATAATTACCTCTTTTTTAACTAGTGGCTAAATCTCCCATTTTATTTCCAAAAAGAAATGGTAGTAATTCTCCCTGCAATAGTTTAAACCAGTAGTACTGAGATAGTGGTCAATGTACTGGAAGCAATGCTGCACAATCAAGTATGCATGTTGGTATGCTCAAGGTGATGCCTTTCTCTTATTTAGATATGCTAGACATCTTTCTTCTTTTTTGGCAGTTCCTCCCCACTCCACCTTCTTATCCCTCATCTGAAATCATACCTTGCAGCTGCCAATGCAATTGCTTATGTCACCGATTATTATGACTTCAGTGCCAGAAATAGCAAGAAAGAGCAAGATCTTTAGCAATACAAATAGAGAGGAGCAAATTTACATACACAAAGGATATATGGAGAATGCAGTTATTGAATGAAGTGCTTCCCATTTTCTGTAATGCTATAAATTCCTTAAGAAAACATAGAAGAACAAGTGCAAAATGTAAGAGAAATGAAGACTGGCTGGCCCAGGGAAGTGGCTGAGTCACCATCCCTGGAGATATTTAAAAGACGTGAAGATGTGGCCACTTAAGGATGTGGTTTAGTGGTGAACTTGGCAGTGCTGGGTTAATGGTTGGACTTAATCATCTTAAAAGTCTTTTCCAACCTAAACAATTCTATGATTATTTTACTTCAACCTATCTATTTTTGACTCTACCTGAATTACTAAGCCATTAATTTTATTTATTTTTAATAAAATATCATACCATTTTACCATGGCAAAATACCATATTCATTTTAATCCTCCTTCAGAAGAAGTGTTTGGAGGCTCAGTATACAAGCATTGTAGAGAACACTTTCAGCTACATTTCTCCAAGAGAGGGTCATTCACCAGCATGTAACATGTTCTGGCATGAATTATTACACTGCATAAGCTACTTCAGCAATTTAATGTGTACTGTGTCTCAATGAATACCTATTTCCTTGATCTATTTAGCTGACAGTACTAACTCTCCCCAAAAGAAAGCTAGGAAGTTAGATGAAAGAGGGAAAAGAAAGCATGACCACTGCATGAGAACCAGTGGGATGGCACAGTTATACTGAAGACGTGGGTTTGATTAATTAAACTTGCCAGAGGAGGAGGCAGATGTAACTGCCAGGTACACCATTGTGAAGCATATTGCTGATCCAATTAGCATATTAAGAAAGATATGGTTTAAGATATAAACACAGTATAGATCAGAATGTAAACTTGATGCCCAACATTCCCGTTTCCTTTGTTCCAGAAACGAGAGGTGAGTGGAAATTTCATAAGAAAACTTGCTGCAAAGCAAATACAGACCTTGAATTATGCTGTAACAAGTTCCAACCCCACTTAAGACCAAAAGAAGCCTTTGTGCTTTACATATTAGATGACAAGTTGCCATCTAATCCCAATAAAACTTGGTTTACCAGGTGTATTGAGAATTACACAGGAGCCCGCTGTGAGGAAGTTTTGCTGCCCAGCATCAAGTCCCAAGCTAAAGGTGACCTGTTCGCAGCTTTCTTGGCTTCACTGCTTCTTCTAGGAGTTCTTGTAATTGGAGCATTCTACTTCCTTTGCAGGTAAAAGTGCTTCAGAGTGCTGAAGCTATTTAATCAAGTAGAAATTTCTTCTGGTAATCATGTACTAATTATTTGAATGTAAAAGTATGTAATGAATTATCCATAAGGTTTGTATGGTTATTCAGCATAATTAATGTGGATGATTCAACTTGTTGCTTGTGATATTTTACTTACTGGCTTGCAGTATTCTCGATGTCTTTTCTAAGCTAGTGCTTTCAGTTGCTTTGTAAAAAAGACATGCAGCACACCCATTTCTGAGAGATTTTCACAGTCCACCTAGAGCTAGTGCAAACAGTGCAAAACACTGGTCACCCCTTATGTTGTTCAAAGATTGAAAAGTAGAAGCAAATTACTACAGTGCTTCGAGATCAGAAACTGTTCCACTGCATTGAATTGCCAGCCAAACCAACTGGGGCCATTAGCTTCCAATTCCTTTACAACTACTGGTTTAGAAAGGAAAACTAAGGAAAAATCAAATTCAAGGATAAACCCAGGTAAATGTTCATTAACTAACTAACATCTAGAACAAATCAGAATACTAACTCATTTGTTCAGGATGATGCATGTTTGAGTAGCAAGAAAACATCAGTGCTAGACAGCAAGTGATGCAGCTTTGATTTTAGTAGAATTTCAGGAATATTAGGACTTTCAATGAAAACACACAAGTGGTTTCTGGGATTAAGTCAACATTTGATGCTGTACAAATATGAGTACACTTATACCAAACCCAAACAATCTTACTGTTTTCTGTTACTCTAGCATTCATGTATGTAAATCAGCCTCCTACATCCCCTCTTGTTTTTTGAGTACAGCACTTTTTGTAAGAGCTCATTTTGTCATATACTGTCTTTATGCCTTTATGAGGCAACTTACTAGGCCCTGTAGTTCTTAACTATCACAGACTTGCAGCCACCTCCTCTTTCCCCTATGCTGCATTTCTCCTTGGTTATGATACCCTGAGGTTCTTGCAATTCTGTTCTTTGCTCTCCCATAATCACATTGCTAAATCAACCTCTTTGATCAGTGCCTTTCAGTGAGCGACCTTTGGAATAGCTGGTCTAGTTTTACCTCAGCTGCTGTCATGGAAACCCACTGAATGCCAGCTTTTCCCATAGCTGAATATATTTAGAAGCGAGAGTATTTGATAAAACAGAGTTTGTATTAAGACCCCTCATTGCAGAGGATACCCCTCTTAGTCATTTAAGTTAAATTAATCCTGTCTTAGCTGTGGAACACCATGGCAGCAATTTGCTAAACAACACTTGCAGATTACTATAAAGTTATTAGAATGGAATACAGCTTTAACTAAAGAAAAAAAAAATATTCAAGTCTCACAGAGGTACAGAGAGTATTTCTTTAGAAATAAAGCTTGTCTCTGAGAAGAGGAAAATAGCCTTCAGTGAGCAGAGACTTCAGAGAGCAATCTGTTAAAAGATTCCTTTCCTCTTGCATACAGTAAATTTAGGGGAAGGCTGGAGACACATTTACTGAGTTTTACAGGCAAAGAGCCTTGCATTACAAAGTACAGAAGCTGAGAATAGCAGCAATGACAGGCCTGCGCAAGTCTTTTATGAGACAGTTGGAAGATGAACCCCAAGTACTCTACTTCTTCATAGGAAATCAATTTACTCGAGCTTTACCTAACTGGCAGAACAAGAAGTAGTGCCTCTTTATTAGAAACACAAAGGCGGCAACTCAGTCTTAACGGAGTTGCCCTTGAACCTCTCTTATGTACCAGACTAGCTGTGGAAATCTCATAAAACCATGCTCAGCTTCTTTATCCTAAAGAAAAGAAATGTGACCAGCAGGTTGAAGCAGTCCTACAAAGGATGCTGGAGAGGGATTCTTCATCAGGGACTGGGTTTAAACTTAAACAGGGAAAGTTCAAATTAGATATCAGGAAGAAATCCTTTACCATGAGGGTGGTAAGGCACTGGCACAGACTGCCCAAAGAAGTGATAAATGCTTTGTCCCTGGCATAGCTCAAGACCAGGTTGGACAGTGCCTTGATCAACCTGGTCTAGTGTGAGACATCCCAGACCATGGCAGGGGGTTGAAAGTGGATGATCTTAAGGTCCTTTCCAACCCAAACCGTTCTGTTATTCTATAAAAGAACATTAGTGGCTGAAAGTTTTGTCTTACCTTTACACTTCAGAGGTTGATGTAGCACAATCATCTTCTGCTAGAGAACTCACCTGTAAGAGAAACACTTGACATGTAAAAGTCCTTATCTCTTGGCCAAAGTGACCAACATACAAGTCTCAAGTGAATGCTTGAGCCTACTCCTCTCTATTCAGCTCTATAAACAAAGATTGTTGTTAGCAGCTGTCACTAATATTATTATATTTTTTCCTCCAAAATTTGATCTAGCACAATCATAAGATTCTGGAAGAGGGTGGAATTGAGACTTGTAAGGGTTAGCTGTGAGTTTGTGTCATGCTTGACTTGTCCTCTTCAGAGAATATAGTAACTTTAAAATGTTAAGAGAAATATCGTGCTATCAGGTTTCCACTATTACACCTGATTAACAAGTATGTTCAATCCAGAATCAGAAAGCAGAGGTTTCTCCCCCACCATTGTGTGTTAATAAGCATTTCTGTGGCTTTTTCTGCAGAGGATTCTAGTGCAGTTTTAGTGTACACAGTAATACAATCTGGAGGGATGCAAAAAGGAAGATACTAATTGGAGTTTAAGGTACAGAAATGGAATCTCTAAAATTACACATAAAATCTTTTAGAATTTAGGAGATCAGTACTCTGTTTTCTTGTCCCTGTCATCACTTGTATCCTGTATTTCCCTTCGAAGCTTTCTTCCTCTCAGTCTGCTTGGGGCAGATCTCAGAACCAGGCACGTGCAAGTGCATTTAATGCTCTGTACAAACAAACCCATTCAGCATACAAGGGTGGAGAGAAAAGATTTCATTGCTCCACTTATATAACCAAATCATAACAGTGAAAGTAACCCATAAAAGAAAAGGGCTGCACAGAAAAAGCTCTGGGTGAACAGTGGGAAATTTCTCCTTTTATATTTAGCTGAGTCATCATGTATTTTATCAGGCAAGGATTTCCTTTTTGCAGCCCATCAACAATCTGCTGTTAAGCTGATTACATGCTGTATTTGATTATTTACTAGGATTCATCAAACTTGTATGGTTTGGGAAACCAAACCTACAAGAAGAGAGAATAAAGGATAATGAAGAACCAGAATTTAAAAGGGCTAGAGAGTGAGAATGATGGAAAGCAGAACAAAATAAAGACCAGGAAAGGAACCAAAGCTCTGAGAGAAAAGAACAGCAGAGAATGGAGGGAAGGGAGAGGCAGAAGTGGTCATGGACTGGTGATGAAAAAAAGCAGCTTAAAACTGGAAAAGATAAACAGTAGTCTTGGGTTAAACCTCCCACTGGAACCCACTGAGGGAAAGGCCTGCTGTTGAGCTATCTTAGTCTCAGGCTGAGAGAGTAGAATTATTTATGTAGTGAATTGAGTAGCTTTAATTTACTTTCTGAAAACATGATGAGGAATGTTGCTGCAAAGAAAAACGACCCTGGTTTTGTATCTCCTCAAAGGTAAGTCTTGTAAAACAATTGTGTATCATTCTGCAGGAATTCATAAGAACAGTACTGTCACCCGAAATCAAGGTGAAAACCAGTTCAGCACATTAGCTTCCTATGTTACTTCATCATGTTTTCTCCAGGAATGTGTTATTTCATAGGCAGTAAACTTCTCTGTCAAAGGGAGCATCCCAGTCTTTAAAGATCATGTTCAGTTCTGTTTGCCACCCTCCTCACAAGCTCAGCACATAAAACTATCACTATTTCTAGCTATTGGCATTCACTAGAAGAGAGCATCATGCCAACAATTTCATTTTAACGAAGACAGTCAAATATTTACATTATGAATTTAAAACTTACCCACATATGTATCTATTTAAAATCAGAACTGATTTTTTTGAGAGTGATTTGGTGTTCAACACTGAAAAAATGTCTTGGGTTAGAGTAGCCTTTGTGCATGTTTAGGCCTGGGAGCTGCATAACATGCTAGCAGAGCAGAGTGTATGGAGGCAGAGCAAATCCAGCTCTAGCCACTCTCTATCTTGAAACAAACACACACCCATCAAACAGTGGCTCTGATAAAGCCTATCAGTTTAACCTGGGGAAAACAGGGAAGTGTACAAAAATCCTTGCTATTACGTTGTTACTGTGGTAAGAAATGGCAGATTTTGCTACAAGCATTTCACCTATCAGTGCAGGTCCATCTGGCCTTCCTTCTCCAGAAACATAATGTACAAGAGTTCCTGGGAGAACAATAAGAAAGATAGCTGATTAGCATAGATTTCACATAAGCTAGTTTTTGTTTAAAAACAAAGACCTGAATGCCACAGCCTAAAGGAACAGAGAAAACCCTATGGAAAACTAAAAGAGATCTGCAGTTCATTTCTATACCTTATTGTAAGTCCATGTTGAAATGCTACATTACCTGTAAGGTAAGCGTAATATTAATGAGCAGGAACTCAGCCAGGCAGAACAACAGGGTCTAGGAATAAAGCCATTTAAGCTGTCCAAAACAACAGACTTTGTGGAGGAGGTATATCACCACAGGACACAAACTGGACAGAAAGGAGGATAGCTCGTGACTCTTCTCAAGAGAGCAGATGTCTAATTACTATTAAAAGAAAAGGAAAGAGACAGCAAGAGATCAGCTCTATTTAAAAGATCTGTTTCTCCTCAGGGAAGTGTGGAAAATAACACCTTAGTCATGTTTCACTTCCAAATGCTGAGAGTTCATATAAATACTTCGGTGATATCTCCTAATTGCTTAAATAAAGACCTGAGAAACCAAACAAGAACCTGAACTTCAGGAGAGAAGCCATGTAGTGCTGAGTGCTGTTCCTGCCTCTAATCTCTCTTTTTCTACCTCAAATATGTGCTTCTAAAAAATGTTGAGTATTAATTGAAAGTAATTGCAGAAGATCCATGCCACTTTTTCTAATGGAAGCATTAATTCAGTTTGTTTGTCTCTTCTTAGATAACTTTTTTCACTCTTGTGTGATTTGTTTTGGGGTTTTTCCTCCCTGACACCTGCTTTCTTGTTTCATATGGTCAGAAAAGCTTCCATTCCAAGGACAAGTTCCTCACAGTATGGTGCCAACCTGGTTGAAATGACAAGCAGTAATGGCTGCATCAGTGAGTACATTTGAAGTTAAATGACTGGACTCCATAACGAAGGCAGGGGAGGATGTTTTCTTTCATTAAAATCACGTGTTTTGTTTGTTTTTCAGAAATAATAACAGAGTAAAGCTTTAGAGTGGAAGAATGCTGGGAAAGCAACATGCAGAGCAACCCTAAGAACACAGTAGTTGTAGAGGATGATGTCAAAGGAAGATGAGAGAAGAAAGTAGACTGAAATAGGAAGCTTACCCACATGTTGGAGAAGACAAACTAAAATACAAAAAGTTGCACTTCCCAAGTTTCTATGTATTTTTGAAGGCATATAAAATTATACAGAAATCACTAATTTATTTTTGCATTTTGTGAGATTTTTCATGGCAAGTTACTGTTCTCTACACCACAGAGGTAGAAACATGAGATAATTTGGGGCTTTACTGCATGGGAAGAATGAAATAATTTTTTTTTCACTGCACAGATAATATCAGATAATGGGAGCAGTTTTGGCATGATGAAATACTCTAATTTTTTCATAAGATTGTCCTTTTTCACAGTATTTCCCCAGAGGAGGTGAGGACTGTCTTGATTCAATAGTTTATACTTGTGATACATGTCCAGAATTTGCCTTGTTTCAGATGCACTTACCAGATGTAGGGCAGGGGGTAAGTACCTTTCTCCTGGTGACTACTTCTGACTTTCTCTTTAATTTAAATAGTAAGACAACAGGAGGCTGAGGTACCACTTCCAGTGTATTGGCCAGCTTGCTGGCACAAGACTTGAATTCAAATTAAGAAGGAAATATATTAAGAGATTGGCAATGGTTAAAAGAAGTTTCCTAGGCAGAGTATTTACCCTTTGTCTGGTGTATGTCCCTAATGTTAAGCAAGACACCTTCCTTGATGGTTTTATTTTTGTCTTGTTTTCTTCTGAAATTCTGCCTACTGAGGGAGAGTTAAAGCTTACCTTAAATGTTCCAGTTGATATTGCTGATACTAGAAGTCAGGGATTGTGTTCATCACATAGTATTGCCCAGACAGGTGTCTTGGCTGAACAATTACTGCCTAGAGTCTAAAGATTTGTTTTATTCACATAACCATTTGTTGATCATTCCAGTATATTATATACCACTCTCTGGTTCCTTACAGGATTCCCTTACTCAGACAAAGAGCAGCCAAATGACATGGTCCATTTCTCTTTCTGCCTTGACAACACAACAGGACTGTTTGGTTAGCCAGAGGCACAGAAAATGTGAATTGCATGATTCTCTTTTCAACACATTTCCAGCACTGCAGGTTGAAACCAGCATAAATCAGAAATGTTTCCATAATGGCACATTACCTAGCAGCTCATTATATTGGATTTTTAAGGTTGTATTGAAGAGAAAATTAATTGAGAAAACTTCAGGAATTGAAAGAGGAGAAAATGCAGCATGCAGATTTCTTATGTCTGAAATAAAGAGTCCGGAGATGTATAAAAGTGTAAGTAGACAGAAAATGTTGAACAAGCTTCTATTCCTAGGGTGTCTACCACAGTTTCTAGTGGGTATTTTATATGAATATAAACAAAATCACAGCAAGGCAGAGAAGAAAACACATGCTGTTACAGTGTATAAGGTAAGAAGCTCAAGTGAAATCTGTATTATGACAGCTATTAGAAAACAAAACAGGAAAACACATTACCTTCACAGGATTCGTGGCAGAGAAGTTGGAGTCCAAGTTATAATTCAGCATCTGAAGGGAGAAACTGAAGGCACTAAATCAAGTAGAGGACCTGATCCAGAGATCAAGTTACATAAAGCAGTAAAAGGTCACTTTCTTTCCAAATTAACCAATCCTATATGCTATTTCCTGGACTTCAAACATTTAGCAGATACTCTGAAGAAAGCTGATAATAGTCTTTTAAAGACTAGGAAAGATGAAAGCGGTTTTTCATCACACAGGGACATGCCACTGTTAAACAGAGAGTTTAGGAGACTTGTAGCAGTGCTGACAACTACATTAGAATCAGTATTACCTAAAGCATTTTGCACAGCCTCAGTGAAAAGTAGTCAGAGACGACTGCTGCTAGACAACTTCCATACATTATTGATCATGAGATGTTCAGACTTCATAATGTTCAAGTTTGGTATACTTTGTTCACTGAAGAAGGAAAAGGCTTGTGGCCATCTTAAGTGGAAATCCAGGAAAGAAATATTACTAGAAGATGTAAGAAATAAATAGCCTGAAGATGTACTCTATAAACTCTTAGATCCCCCTCAGCTTTCTAAACAGACATGGTGTAGTTATTCACCGTTACCAAGCTTGTTTGCATTAGATGGGAAGCAATTCATACAAAAAGTGAGAATCAATAAACCAAACCCCTGCTTTAATGCAAGCTGATTTATGAAACACTGTTATCTTTGAAGCAGATACTATTTGCAGTTCAGACTGCTTCAACCCATTGCATTGGAGAACATTTCAGCTTCTAAAATTATTTCAATACACAAGCTTTGTGAATATGATGTTCAGGTCAAAAAGAGATCAGGCTACAAATTCATTTTAAGCTGGTCAAATGCCACAGAAAGCACATGGTAGCCAACATTACACATAATTTAATAAAAGAGCACAACACTTTCTAGTGACTCCTGCTTACAAAATTAAGGAAGCAGTCCTGTGAGCAATAAAGCTGAGGAAACACTGATGCCAATGGATCAAATCTTGTGGCCGGAGTCACTGGAGTCTAAATAAGCATTATGTGTATATGCAGGGATGAGTAATAGGGTTCCTCTTTTCTGCTTGACTCCTGTTTTCATGAGACATAAACCCTCTTGTCTTTAAAATTACCTCTCCAGCAGCTAAAAGGTTATGGAGGGAACACTGATTTTCTAGGAACCTCCACTAACATAATTACACAGCAATTATTAGTTATGGCAAAAATTCTTTTATACCTGAGGACCATGTTTTCCTTCCAGAATCTTGTAGCAAGGATCTCTTCAGAATGCACTGCAAAAATCTTTTGATGACTTTCGGAACAGAATGCCAGCCACTACCAGGAAATCTCTTTATAGAGCTAAGTAATAGGTTGCTTTTATGTTACTAAGTATATAATGGTATTTCATTAGTAGCCCAGCCAAACACTGGGGCTAAAGGAGAAGGACAAATGGCTGTTCAAAGAAAACATGAGTATTTCTCTGCTGTGTAGTCTTTAGATTTATATTAAGTTTTAAGCAGGAAGGGGAAGTGCATTTGGTAGTACTGCCTGTTCTAAAGGTACCTTCAATGTTGTGCTACCACTTCAGAATTTACTGAAGAAAAAAAAAACCCAGAAGAAATGGGGGAGACAATTTATCCCAATAGATATGGTGTCTGTGCCACTGCTTTCTGTTGTGAGTATTCTGATGGGAGCAGAGTTCAGGCAAAAAAGGAAAGCAGTTGAGCTTACCTGAAAGGCTGAGGCTGTTACATGTTCAACATATTCTGTGTCAGGAAATACATACCTAGAAGGAACTGCCCAGGGAGAGGGAGAGCTTTAGCCAAAACTGACGTTGTGGTTATGAATTTAACATCGGACACCCAACTCCTTCACGTTAAAAAAACAAAAGAACACCCTTAGTTAAGGTCCCTTGGTATTAACATCCTTTCAGATTTAAAGGACACCAAGCTATGTTGAGTGAAACCTGAAAAGACTGTGTATTAGTTTGGACCAGAGTTTTCACTTGTGCCATGCTAATATTTAAACACAGGTAGATTAATGAAAAAGTATCTGCATAAGGTTGGGGAAAAAACCTAGAACTAAATTGTGTTACAACTCTCCTGCAACTTAACCAGGATGCACATGTTCAGTGTATCTGTCCTAGTCATAATGCCTTCTTTTGACATCTATATACTTAAAAGAGGTGGAATATTCCCACATCATGGATTATAAAGAATAATCCAAAGAATCCTGATAAATTATTTGCTTTATTTGGGGGAAAATGAGCAAACAAAAATTCCCAAGCATGATGCATGTTTAAAAAAAAACCCAGCCCTTTTCATTATTGCATGTAACATTATCTGTTTGTGCTTATCCAAAGTCTGCTCTTGCTTTTCTCATGATTGTAACCTGTTCAACATAACCTGTACGTAATGTGAGAGATGAATTTCAGGATAGCAAAGTGCCAAATATAAATTGTGAAACACTGCCGGGCCAGTTGCCACATGTGTAATATGAAAATTCTTTTCAATGCACATTAAAAGAGACTCTTTTCAAATTGTCCTATCAATGTAAGTGATGGTATTTTGAGTACAACTTCTGTACAGGGAAATGATGGGCTGCAAAAACGTAGGTGAGTGGCATTTCCTAACAGGACTATGTAATTAGAATCTATATTGTATGTTCTCTGTCACAGAACTCAAACTATTCAGTCATTTTCACCTGATCTGGAGATTGCAGGAGAGTTCTGGTTCTGGGAGGATTTGTTTGCTCTCACTCTTGCCATACTGAGAACTCAGCTAAGATGAGCTTATTTTAAAAAAGCTGTTTCCAACTCTTACAGCTGTGAAAATGTATCATGAAAAGGTGACATGACCGCTGCTGATTTACTGATGTGAATCACTCCACAACATTCCGAGAAGTCTGTGCTACCTGCTAATCTCAGTGAGGATCTAGCTGTGAAATGTAACGATGGCAATTTTGGGAACAAAGTTTTTGCTGCTGAATTATCAAAGCACTTGAAAAAAAACCAAGCCAATTAGCTATTAACTATTTCTCTGCTAATAATTCTAATGTAAGTAGCTAGGTAATATAATTTCAGTGTTTGAACTTGTATTTGTTTGATTTAAAACTGTGGTACAGGCCCAAAGCACACCACCATCACCACCACCATCAGCAGAAGTGAGCTGTTTACCTGTCTGCGTACCTTTGAGCCTGTAGTTCAGAAGACACATTCCAAACACCCTCAAGACTAATCCAAAACAGCCTCTTCCGGAGCCTGTATCTGGCTGAGAAGTGGGCTTAGGAACAGGGAAAAGTTCAAGTAAGAAATTCAATAGTTCACTTCAAAATTATGAAAAGTAAAGCACCTGACAATGTGCTGGAGTTTGTATTTGAATAACGGTTTGTTAACAACAGAATTAGAGCCTAGCAGTTACCTTACCTGCTTTTGCGCACACAAAATCCAACAGCTGTATTAAGATGGAATGTGTTTTAGAGATACGCAACACCCGTACAGTAAAAAAAAAATCTTCCCCATAATGTTATAATAAAAATAATCAGACAGCTGGGGAAATGATTGTTTTCTTAATGTTTGCAGAGAGCTCAGAGATTATAATATAAAAGACCCAATAAAAGACCATTTAAATTAACATGTTTACTATCTGTAACTTCTAACCATGAAAACTTCCAGATCTCGAACGTTATTTTCCTGTGTCGTTCCACTGAGCAACATCAAAGTAGGCCAAAGGTGTTTTAGCTTGTTCTCTCATTTGGCCAGACAGTAGGTGTTCAAAGAACTTGGGATGATATCAAAGTTAGTGTCTTACATGAGAACGAACTTTCACAAATATGAAAGCCAACAGTTACTTCTAGTAGAAATAAGTTCTCCATTTTTAGACAGACAAAAATAAACTAAGGGAGGAGGTAGGGATAGTGATGCCAAGTGAGTTTCTAGGTAGACTTTTAACTAAATACTGATTAAGAATCGTATGTAACCACTTGTGTTTTCAAAATTCAGTCTGAGGTTTAACGTTTTTGCCAGCCTTCCCTGCTGCACACTGAAATGCAAAGTTGGGTTGCATATTTACAGGTCTTGGTAAACTGTCCCCATCCCAGGGGCATGATTCAGTGTCATTCATCTGTTGAAGTAAGGTTTGTTCCAAAACCAACTTTGGTCAAAACAAACCTGCACAGAGACTAACAAACCCCAAGTTCATTATCTCTGCAGTTCTCAACTGAAATTGCTTTCTGGTAGTACAGTTGTAACAATATAGCATCATTTGCCTCCTCTTTATCAAATTATTCTTGCTTTCTTACAACTGCACATTAGCAAAATATCCTATAATGAGGGGATTATTTGGATTAGTAACTATAAAATAAAAATTACAGTAATAGTTGTGTTTGACAATTGCTGTTTTGGTTGTAAAGGTATGAGGTTATACATCACACAACTTGCCTGTTATTTTTTGTACTTTGAAATACACAGTTCATTTAGTTGAATGATGTACAAAAAAAAGTAAATGTGCAATGAAACATTATCCAGATTCAAGATATGGGGGAAAAAGAATGTCTTTTACCTTTTGTCAGCAAAACCATCACTCCTCCCTGCAGGTCTTGTGACTGAAAGTTTTCTTTTTTTCTAAACAAAATCCAGTTGTTGTCACTTAGGGATTATTTTCTCTTGGTGGAAGCATACTACCTTCAGCACTGTAACTGCAGATAATTATCTTTAGAGCAGTCCCACTATTCATGTTTGCCTCACTTGCTGAATATTCATTTAACTAGCTTTGTCCACTTTAAAACCTCAAGGTTATTTTTTGAATGCTAAAAGTATAAATTATTGCACTGTAAATGTTCTATTGGTTCAAAGCTCTGCTTTTGATACATGCACCCTTTAAGCAAATATATTTTGCTTTCAGTCAGTTGTAGTGCTTGAATTGCAAATGACAGTGTGGAGGCAAAATGAATTTGGATAACAAAACACTTTAATCACAGATGTTGCAATTTTATTAATTACATTACTTCCCTGTCATTTGGAGGACATAACACAGTCTGGGAGGCACAGCATAGCAGTTTCAGCCCTGCAGTGCATGGTTCTGGGGCCCCATCGCTCATCCCCACTCCCTCAGATTGAGGAGCAGATCTGGGTCTCTGGTGCTGGCTCCTGGTGTTCCCCACCACCCAACATCTTTTCTGTACTGGATGTTTACCTCTTAAGTGTCCTCAGCTACAGAACTGGGCGGCCACAGGACCTTGCTGATGATCAGTCCCTCCAAGCCAAACTCATTGCCTGTTTCACTGCACCACTGCTGGAGCTCACCATCTGCCTCTTCAGACACTTCTGAATGTGTTGCTCAGGATACGTGGTTGATCATACTTCACCTACTTGTACTACTACAAAAAGTTAGTTAAAGTTCATTGGCTTACATTAGTAGTGATGCTCACTAACCTGAACTCACTGCTGACAGCAAGCAGAATCCTGTTAAACACGCAGCTTATGCAGACAGAAAGGGACGGACATTACATTCTGGCTATGCTAGAAAAACATGTATCCACCTCCCACTGAGAGGCCTCTATTAAAATTCAAGCATACTCCATTTCCCAATACCTTTCCTAATAAATGCAGGAACTAAACGTTTTCCAGCTCACACACACACTTACTAATCTCCTACACCTAGGAGGCCACGGAAAATTCATAACTCATTCTCTGTCTTCTAATTTAAAAAAAACCCTAAATATCATCAACTTAGCCATGGGAAAGTGCTGCCTGTGCACAGCACCCACTGAAGGCAACTTTCAGGACAGACAGGCATCTACCTTAAGCTCCTTAGGCCAGCGTCAGGGAAAGTTTTAACTTCATACGGGCAAAAAATTGCCAACTGAGGTCTTACTTGCCACATCTAAAGGAACATACGGTTATTTTGTTGTACAACAACAGCTAAGTACTTTCTTTTTGCTATGCTGAAAAGGGGCCAGCTGCCCAATCTGGAATTTCTGTGTGTGGTGGAACTGATCTTATTTTCATCTAACTCTATTAATAAGTGAAAATAAACGAGAGAAAAGAATTAAAAACCAAATATATTATTAGCTGTAGTAAGACTATAATAAATCTACTCACTTGAACTCTGCAATACTGCATTCCAGCTGCAGCAATCAAACCAGGAAAAACATGGAAAAGCACAAGTCTTGTTTAAAGGCTCTATACCAACAGAACAGAGCCAGATGGTGCATGCCCTGCAATTTCAAAGTAAATCACCTTTTAAAGCAACTTAAAAGATATCAGGTAGTCTTAAAGTCTTAACTTTTAGCACTCTGGATTTGTAAGTTTGTAACAGAGAGCATCACGCCACATCTAAAAGCCAACCAGTACATTTTGATTGTATAAAATTAAATACACCATCACTGAAACTGCTGGTACACACAAAGTATCAGACATTATTCTAAACCAGCTGTTTAAGACAACTGAAATTCAGTTCAAGATGGTGAGGCAAGTTGAGCTTGTAACTGGACAACATCTCTTTAAATCAGAGCTTTTTCTCTAAGAATAGAGGGCAAGGTACTTTTAGGTAGTTTCATCTTTATTTAATGAGCACTTTGTTATTTTCCGCTAAAGATTTTCATTCATTTTATCTAATAAAACTATTTGGGTTTGTAAATAGGATTCCTGGCAGGTTGTGCATCTCTCTTGCAAAAAAAAAATCCAGGAAATGGTGGATTCTGTGCATCAGTATTTCAGAGTGCAGCAGCAGTTTTTCTGGACTGTTTTACATACATAAATAGAGCATATCAAAGTACCAATTCATTCTACATGTTGTACTTGGACTCCAACTGCCATTTGTACAAACCACCTCCACTTAGGAAGAAAGAGGCTTTCTTCAATTGCAGAATTCCATCAAATACAAGTCGTCTGCAATTCAGATGTGTACACAAAATGCAAAGCTTTCTCGCAGGTATATTATATTAAACTCTATTCCAACTACAAGATTTTATAATATTACCAAAAAGATGTTTACATTCTTGAAGGGGCTTTGCCTGCAAGATGTCCACTCTTCCACACTTCTCAGCTTTCTGGAGTGAAACAAACAGCTCACTGAAACATTAAAAACATATTTATGCTTGGTTTGCTTTAGTTGACCCAAGATGAATAAGAGTCATAACTGTAGTGTAGCCATGAAGCAGGTTATCCTTTATGTCATTACATTCTCTCAATACGAAATTCCCAGTAACTATTCGATCACATCCTATTTCCCCATGTCCAAAGAAGCCAAAGAGGGGAACATTTGGAAAAAACTTCCTAAATGCATCTGCTTCCATATTCCTTTTGGTTTTATAATGCCGATATCCTCTGCCAACACATGCAAACATGAAGCCAATGGTGTTATGCTCCGGGATATTTGCTGCTTTGAGACGCTGCATGGCGGCTTCTGCTGTCCTCTCATCAGCTACATCCTGGTCTAACAGAACAGTGGCACTCTGGATCTGGGGACCGCTGAAAGCCAGCCCAACCACACCGCAGGCATCGCCGGGCTGGGCATTGTTACTGAAAGGCAACAGGCACCGAGTTAGAGAACTCCCAGGGAGACCACTTCAACCTGAATAAAGTCCTGCTGTGGCAGAAGCAGGTTTCAAAGCAGACCAACATCCTGTGAAAGCCACACAGTTAGAAAACAAATCAAAACCTTTTAAGTTTGGAATATTTTTTTCTCCCCTTTTGAATAATTTTTCAAAAGGAAAAAATTTCACAAGGAAAAAATTTCACATCCATTACTAGGGATTAAGCATATGCCTACCTTTCAAATACATGCCAAATTCAGCAGTTTGTGTACGTTGCAGCTCTCTTATTCCAACTAAACTAATAGTTAAACTTCAGACACAAAGATACTCAGCATTTACATATCAATTCAGGGCAGCAGTCAGTAATGGCTTCAGATTTACATTAAGTCTGCCTAGTTAGGCAGGACACACTAGTTTTAGCAGTTACCTACTTACACTTCATTAGCACTAAGTGAATATACAGCCAGCTCTCTTAACTGAAGTAATGCCGCAGCCAGCATAAATCAGATGCAAGAAAAATGTTGGTATTGCTATGGATTCCAGATCTAGGCTGGCACTAGAGGAGCCTGTGACATTGCCTGCACTGCATGCCCCAGCACTGGGCACTCCAGTGAGGATGCACCAGCACATCAGATGGCACAAAGGGCTTGCTCTGTGCAGCAGAGCAGCTGTAGCAGTGGAAGCCCAAATCTGCCCTGCAGGGATCTTGGCAAGGGAAAGAGTTTAAACTCGATGAGATCTAGCTGGGTGCTGTGAGTGCTATGTCCTTCAGCAGTGCTTCTGGAGCACAACAAACCCAGGCTGATGGAGAAACAAAACGTTCACATGAATGGTCTCTGTAACAACGAGTAATACACACAGGGTAGCTGAAGCTGGCAGTCTCCTTTGCCAGGAGTTCCTCATAGCTGCATTTTCAGAAGCCTGTTTGCAATACAGTTTCCAGCTAAATGATAGTATAGCAGCTAGACTCCATCTCTCACAAAAACTAATTATTTTACTGCTGTTAATGGGCATTTCTAGTATGACATAACTAAATGGCTACAGCTTCTGGAGTGTTTCTTCCAATTTAAATCTTTACAATTTAGCTTGAAAAAGATACCTACTTCTCAGAGGTCAATGATGTAAAGCTCTCCACTTGCCCCCCAGCCAGGATGATACTTTTTTCATTCAAAGGATTGACTATTTGATGAAGAAATCGAGTAGCTCCAGGCTTCCAGGAGTTGTAGCCAAACAGAAGAACCACCCGGAGATCTGGGTTATTCTTCAGACCTACAAACAAAACCACAAACACCAATCCTCTTACCATTTTTAAATCCTGCCCCCTGAAGCCAACCACCCCAGTGTCTCCTCAAACAATACATTACATCTTTAGTGGTCTTTCACTGCTGCAATTTTCAAAGCAAGATAGAAACTGCCCCAGCATTCATGACGTGGGCTGCATTCCTGACCTAAGTGAGAATTTCTGAACAGAATCTAGCAAGGAAAAACAACTACATCCGCTTCCTAAAGCTTTCCGCTTCTTTACCATATGTTTATACATTATTCGAGAACCTCCACAACACAGCAAATATCTTTACCTAAGAACTAAATAAATTACACCCATCAGACAGTTGCTTACCCCAAGGTAGAAACTGTAGATCCCTAGGAGACTCAAGAAACCCTTATTGCATTACTTTTCATAAATGACCTACCCTGCTAAGGACACAATGCAAAGAATTTATTTAACTATGCTGTCCTCTGTTCTGTCCTTCTTTGCTACCCCACCAAATGACCTAAACGCAAAGTTGTTTCAGAGAAGAAGAGAAGCAGCTCCTCCCTACTCGTTTCTAAACTGTAGCAACAGGAATCATTCCTAAGGGGAGAGACTCATTCATCATTATTTTTTACTAACTAGAGACTGCTCAAAACTTCAGAGCTCTGCTGGAAAACTAAGTGAGGTAATCCAAGATCAATACTCAGGATAACTTGACCTTAATGCTCCACAGAACAGGAAGAACACTGACACATAATTACCAGTTGCAGCCCTACAGAGTGCTCTATGAATGAAGTTGGCACAGAAGTTGTTGGTGCCACCTGTAACTCCACACTGGCACTCAAAAGAGGAATACAGTAATTCAGAACAGCCCAAACAAAGAGAAGAACGTACCTGCTTCAGCAAATTTACTTTCATCAAAGACCCTGTTCTTCACATCTTTAGAAAAATGGAAGGTATGGATTTTCACCCCATCAATTTTGGGAAACAACAAAGCAAACCCAGCTTCACCCTCTTCGATTTCTTGCGGCTGATTGCTGCTTGAACCCATCGGGGTAACTACAAAAATACAAAAGCAGACATCTTGGGTTGAGTGATTCTAATACTCTCATGTACACTAAAACAGATTAAGAGGCAGAACAGCTTAGGTGATGTAAAATATGACAGCTCATTTCCATAGCAACATACCCAATTAACAACTGTGGTGATATTTTTGGTTGATTCTTTGGAAAGATGAAGCATGCCGGAGTCCTAGATTGTGCTCAAGTCACTTTGGACACGGATATATGTTGACATTTCCCCCAGCCACAGCAAATATACAACAGTTGGAAAACAAGCACTGTACAGTACAGCTGTCTCAGGCCTGCCTGCCAACTTCCGCAGGCACGCAAACACACACAGATTTTTAACACACAAGCATGTGATGACAATATAGAGCAAACTGACACAAATACTGGGAGCATATTATTGAATTACACTAGTAACAACAATCAAATACCCTAGGTATACTGCGGGAAGAGAATTTGAGATGAGAAACTAAGAAAAAACTTTGTGATGATAAAAAAGTGAAACAGTAGAAAACAGACTGCCACGGGAGGCTGTGAATTGCCCAGTTACTGAGTATGCCCTCTGTTTATACCATAAGACACGGGTATATACTGAGAATGTCCCATATGATTAATCACAGTATATGAGACTGAAAAATACAGAAAAATCCAAGAAACACCCAACTATTACATTAAGGTGCCAGCAATAAGCTGGCTGCTCAATTAAATCAACCCTTTTAATTAGAACAGCATCAGACAAAGTAAGAATTTAAGCTCGGCATGACTTAACAGCAACCCTGTGACCTCCTTAAAATTCAAAGGTAGCACTGACCAAAGGGGGAGCAGAACATGGAAATCAAAGTGAGAACTCTCCATCAGTTCAAGACTATACTTTCAAAAGCAGAGAAAACTGTGATAAACAGAACCTGGCAGAGAGCTGTGATACACCAAACACCTTCAAACTGCTCTCTCACAGAATCACACATCTTCCTCCTACCTACAATCCCTGGAGTGACCAGTCCAAGAACCTGACATCGCTTTGGCAACAGTTTTTCAAGTGCAATTGCTGTTTCTTTACTGTTTCTTTTCCTGGCTGTTAAAAAGAAAAGGCAGAAAGAAATGAAAGTGAATTGTTCTGATGGGTACTGAGACAAACCCTGCAGCAGTCCCATGCTGCCCATCAGTGGCCGTCTCATTAACAACATGGCAAACCTGTACTAACCAGGAGGAGCAAACGGAACCTGTACCCCCCAGAGAGTGGGAAAGCAACTTGTCTATGTAACAAAACATGAGATGTGCTTCACGCAAGTATAATACTATGTGGTTGTGGATTTTACTGCAAAATATCTACTTTCCCCAGAAATTAAAACTCAGAATCACTGAATCAACCAGGTTGGAAAAGCCCTTTCAGCTCATCCAGTCCAACCACTGCCCAGCACAGCCAAGGCCAACTGACCCATGACACCGTGGCCTCATCTCCACTTGCAGGGACGGTGACTGCAGCCCTGCCCTGGGCAGCCTGTTCCAATGCCTGAGCACCCTCTGGGGCAGGAATTGTTCCTCAGCTACACCTAAACCTGCCCTGGTGCAGGTTAAGACCACTTGTTACATGGGAGAGTAACTCGGAGCATTCCCTTTCAGCTGGCTTTCCTCTTCGAGCAGCTCAAGCATTTCTGGAGGGGGGGGAGGGGGGTTACCTTTCTTCTGCTCGTGACACTCTTCATGCCCGCTGAAGGTTTCCGCATCGGCGATGTAGAGCACGGTCTGGGGCAGCACATGCACCTTCTGTAAGGAAAGAGGAGAAGGAGCAGGAGGAGGAAGAGCAGGAGGCTGAGGGCTGCTCACCCAGCGCCCGCTCCGCACGGCGGGACCCGGCGGCTCCTCAGGCGGGACGAGGGCTTGAGGGAAGCCCCCTTGAGGCGCGAGCCCCCTGAGGCGGGAAGCCCCCTCCGAGGCGCGAGCCCCGCGCCCCTCAGCCGCGCCCGCGCGCACGGACCCACCTCGAGCTCGCGGGCCATGGCGCGCACCAGCGCGTGGCTGTCGGCGGGGCCTGGCTCCAGCGCCGACACCCAAGCGAGGCGCTGCCGTGCCCGCAGGATCCGCCGGGCGCACTCCCTCCACAGCCGGCACACGCTGCGAACAACAGCACCGCGGTCAGCGGGGCCGGCCCTCGCTCACGGCAGTGCCCACTCCCCCCCCCCCCCCCACGGGCCCTCGCCCCTTACCAAGCGGCGCGCAGCAGCGCCTTCGTGGGCAGGAAGCCGAGGACGCGCTCCACCACCTCGGCCAGGTTGCTGAGGACGAACCCGCCCTTTGCGGCCTCCATTGCGGCGCCGCCGCCCGCCGCGGCCTCCCCTTCCAAGCCGCAGCCACGGAGGTCCCTGGCGGACTTCCGGCCACAAAGAGGCAGGGACAGCAGGAGCAGCGACACTACCGCCGCCTAGCGGCGGGGAGGCCCCGAGGGCTCCTCACCACACACACACAGAGTACCACGGACCCAGCGCACTTCGTAAAATGGTTTTTATTCATAAACTTGATGCAAGTTTACAAATTACTGTACATTGCCAGGGCGCTCCTCCGGGAGAAACGGAACCGCACCCCGGGGCCGGCTCTGCCCCCCGCACCGCGGCTGTGGGCGCTACAACCCTGGCAGTGCGGCACCCAGCGCACAGCGGCAGCCGCGCAGGCTAGAAGCGGGGCCAAACCTCTCCCATCCTTTCCTTCCAGCTAAAAACGGGATATGGGAGCAAACGGCCAGGGAGCCGCGGGTGCCTGGCGAAGGAGAGAGCACAGGGATGATAGTCAACTGAAAACAGAACAGAAACATGCGTCTGCGCTTCGAGAGAGTGCTAAACTCATGGTGCGGCCCCGCACGGGAGCGAAGGACTAGTACTACAACCAAAATAGAATCGATTTAGTTAAGGCAATGAAATATACTGTAATTACACAGACCCAGATTCGTTTCCTAATAAAGAAGCAGCAGTTCCCATTCGTCTCTCCATCACAAAACCACTGTCATGACTATGGCAACGTTTTCTTAAGCCTCTGACTCAGGTGACATGTTTTTGTACTTTAGTGTAGCTTTTATACAAAAAAATTTCATCCAAGGACTTTCATCTCAATTTGTGCCAATCACTTTTATAAGTTCATTAGTTTACAAATGATTGCAACAACCCGTTAATAAAATGGAACACCTAAAAAGGTTCTTTTTTTAGTATTTTAAATAACTTCAAGCTTCATACTGCGGCTCTTCTTGTTAAGGAGCTTGAGCCAACAAGTAGCAGGAACAGCTCAGCAAGTTCTGATGCCCCAGTGGAAGTGACTACTTACAAGGTTTTATTGGCACAGCCTTGCTCTGCTTCAAAAAAAAAATAATAAAATAAACCAAAAAAAAGGAAAAAAAAAAAAAGAAAAAAATTAACATAATCTAAACAAAGAGCATCTCTTCCAAAAAACAGTTCATATTCTCATACAGCCATGAAAAATGTTTAATGACTTAACATACATGTGTTCTTCCTATATCATTAATTTGGAAATACTACAAATGCTGTCATTTTAGACCAGAAAACAAAAAAAAAAAAAAAAAAAAGACCTACTGTGATTTGCAAGACCTGACACCTCCTAAAACAGTATTAAACAAAGGTATTAAACTTCTTGGCTTTAAATGAAGATAATACAACGCAAGTCTCTGCAGTCTGCATTCTGCAAAAGGTAAGAAAGACACAAAAGTGTGTTGAACAACTCACTCTTATTGAATGATCTTTAGTAACTCAGTAGCCTGCCGGAGGGAGCTTATGCTTTCAAACAAAAAAGGGAGAAATGGAGGGCATGGCCCAAATATGCTGAATCCATAAGAACAAATACAGTAAAGGCCCAAACTGCTCAGTCCAGATACCTAAGAAGAGCAGAATGGTAAGGCTGTAACTTATACTTTACGTGTCAGTTGACAGATTATCCACTAACTTATCTAATAGCTAAAGTCTTCAGTACAGCTGTTATAGGGGCACTCGTAGCTTGAGTCTGTGTGTTGGAAAACATAAAAAAGAGCTTGTTTTGTTGACGTTGGTCCATGAATACAACACAGTCCTCAACATTAGCCATCTTCTTTTGGTGGAGTGTACCAGCCTGCAAAGAACAGAGACGTGCATTAGGTACTGACATCACTATGTCAGGACAGTCTTACACTCAGTTTCTCAGAGATGGAAGTCTAGAACCTGGCTCCTTCCTTCCCTCTTAAAGAAGGCCAGCTCAGCAAGATCCAGTGCCCAAAACGCTAGTGGTCTGCAGTGAAACATAAGGCATGTGGTATATTCCAGGATCACACCCAGTATTTGGGTGTGAAAACTTAATATTTCCAAGTTTGGGGTTTTTTGTGGCAGCAGCTATCCCGAGGTGGACAAGCTGGACATGAACAGGGGAAGCTGTTGAGAAGGAACGCTGCTGTAACAAAACCAAATGAAATTGAGGCAAAACCCTCAAGTCTTCCAGCCATTTAACGCACAGTCAAACATGACTACACTGGGATATTTGTCTATAAATCCCATCTCCCATACTGAGGAGCTAGGCATGTACAAGCATCTGAATGGTTTATCCTACTTCTGTAAGTCTTGCAGTAGCAACAGGGTCAAAGATGTCAGCTGAATAACTTGTCTCCTGATTGTACTTGGCATGTTTAGCAGTTGAATCACACCTGAACAAATGTGCATAGGGTGGTTGTTTTTTTAATCACCTCCAGATCTCCAATCTTAATTCTTCCAATCACTACTGTAAAAATTCCTGATTTTTTTTGTACAGTGAATAAACAGCCTATTTATTTTGTCCCAGAGAACAGGTAGCAAAAATACACCTTTTACAGCTATAAATTCTGTGGATGCTTTGTGTATAGCTCCTGACATGGTAGTAATCACTGTAGGCTAGCACACAGCTAGAAGCAAAGAGAGCATCATGCTGGCTTTTGTAGCGAACTAAAAAAGCAAAAGGCTTGGTTAATGGCAAAATCAAAATACCATAAAATCGGAAAGCATTTTAAAGTTGTCATCTTTGATCTTCCTCCGCCTTGTAGAGAAGGCATTATGTTCGATTTTAGAGGTAGGGAAACTGAGGTGCTCGCTCCAGCCACACTGAAATACACTCATGTTCACAGCAACATCAATTCCCAGAAGACACTGTGTCCAACCTGGACAACAGGACATCACAGAAGTGGTAAGTGGACTTAACTCCCTTGTCACGACACCAGGGTAGTGCTTCTACTGACTACTTTTACATAGTATGTCAGTCACGTAAACCTTTTAAAGCCTCAGGTCATTTGTTGTCTCCTCATCCTGGCACAATGAACACAATTGTACCTGAAACACTTGTTTCATGCAGCTAAGAGACCATAAACTGGCTTTAAATAGAACAATAAATGTATCTCCCATTTCTATTGGGACAGTTTTCCAGCCAGTGCACTTGACTTGGACTTCTTGTATTTTCTAAACCTCTGGTCTTCCTTTCCACTTTCTCTCTTCCTTAATGACTACTGCAAGCTCTTGCCACATTGAAACAAACCCTTTCAGGGAAAGAGGTAAACCTCCAGAAGATACTTCACTAAGACACTCTGAAAGCTCCAGTAACAATAAAGTTCCTAGATCAGCTGGCTGAAAGTGAAATTGAACCACCTTTCAAAAGACAGTAGGAACACATGGAACATCCACGTAAGCTGGCAAAGTTGCATGATTGTTAGTCAAGTTATTTTAAGCACTGTTGTCTTCCTAGTGCAAGATGAGAAGGAAACACAATTTATGTTCTTCCCAAGCCAACATAAGACACTCTGGCACTTAGAAGTTTTACTGAGGCCAAATACCAATCACCAGGTTGCTGTGCAGACAAGAACAAAAATCAAAAGACTGTACATACCATTTTTCTCATGTATTTGTACTAGTGACTTATAGGACTGCTGTGCTCTTGCTAGGTTATATTGATTCTGAAAGGAGAAAAAACTAACATAAAAAACTGGCAGCCAGACATGTGAGACTTAAAAACAGTTTTAAAAAGAAACTCTGCATCAGACTTCCAATTAAAAACCATGCAGAGTGTTACAACACTCCTGGATTTAAGGCACAAGATGTTCAAAACAAATACCCTTATTTTCTCATTTCTTTTCCATCATAATATCAGTAATCTGTACACCCTGACTGCTGGAAAGGCCCCTCTATGAGAAGGTTAAGAACCTGAGCAACTGGAATGAAGGCTTCAGGCAATGTGCCTTGCTCAGCTGACCAGTTACTGGGTTAGACAGAATGGTGATTATAAACTTTTGCATCTTACCTACCTAGGTCACTATCCTTGGAGGAGTGCTTAAAAACAAGTGACAGTTTCATTCACTTAAATACTTAAATATCCTTTGAAAACAGCATTTCATACTTCAAAGTCTTTTAAGTTACAGCCCGTTACCAGCATGCTCACTTGGAACTGAATTGTTATTTGCATTAATGTTGAACAGCTAGCTCAGGATTTGCATGGCATTATTTTTCACCCTCTCATGAAACTTGGCAGGTGTTTGGGCCAGCTAAAGGAGGAGAACTCCTTAATATCAGCATATGTGACCCTGGCAGCCAGGCTGTCATCTACAGCCCTTCTCAGATCTGGAATTTCCAAATACTCCTGATTCCCAATGCCGATACCACTTCCTTCCCCACTCTGCCAATACAGGGACAGTGCAAGTCTAACTGCTTACACACCCTGCCCATCCCAAGGTTTTATCCTCCCATGTTCATCATTTAACAAACTCAGAGTTAAGTGCCAATAAAATACTCACACATGCACCAGATGTCAAGATAAATCAAAATGCAAATATATTTGCAATGACAATTCTGTTGTTAAACATCTTCCGTGCAAGTCAGCAAAGAAATGAAAGCCTAATAGGAACTTCTGTAACAGATATAACACAGCATATTTACCTTATTGGCTCCAAACTGTACTCTGGCTTTTCCTTTGACTAAAGTGGCATTGATCTGCATGATGACTGATTCTATTGAATAGGCACTGCTCCAGCCCTGGAGAAAGAAGGAAATATTTCTATGTAACACGTACTTGCTCCTTGTGCTCAGCTTGCACACTGATGTTGGGATATGTGCTGTGGAAGGTGTATTTTTCTCAACTCTGTTTTTAGTTTTAAGCACTTGTTTTCAGTTAACAACAGAGAAACTCTGCAAAGTGCTATTACAGTCTTACTACTAAGAACTTGTAGGAAACATGGAAAGGCTGATTCACACACTTCCAAAATGCAGCAAGACAGAAACAAGAGCAGTTCATTATTATACAACTACAGGTTAGGCAGAGAAGAGATTCAGAGCAGCCCTGCGGAGAAGGACTTGGGGGCATTGGTCAATGAGAAAATGAACATGAGCCAGCTTCAGTGTGCGCTTGCAGCCCAGAAAGCCAACCGTATCCTGGGTTGCATCAAAAGAGGCGTGACCAGCAGGTCGAAGGAGGTGATCCTGCCCCTTTATTCTGCTCTCGTGAGACCTCACCTGGAGGATTGTGTGCAGTTCTGGTGTCCTCAACATAAAAAGGACATGGAACTGTTGGAACAAGCCCAGAGGAGGGCCACAAGGATGATCAGGGGACTGGAGCACCTCCTGTATGAAGATCAGCTGAAAAAGTTGGGGCTGTTCAGCCTGGAGACCTCAGAGCAGCCTTCCAGTATCTGAAGGGGGCATACAGGGATGCTGGGGATGGGCTCTTTGTTAGGGACTGTAGTGACAGGACAACGGGCAATGGGTTAAAACTTAAACAGGGGAAGTTTAGACTGGATATAAGGAGGAAATTCTTTACTGTGAGGGTGGTGAGGCACTGGAATGGGTTTCCCAGGGAAGCTGTGAATGCTCCATCCCTGGCAGTGTTCAAGGCCAGGTTGGACAGAGCCTTGGGTGACATGGTTTAGTGTGAGGTGTCCCTGCCCAGAAATTCTGAGAACTCGGAGCTGATGTGCTCTCGCTTCTTGCCTCTTCTTCAGACCTCTTGTAAGCCATCCAAGGCAGAAGAGAAGCTCTTTCACAAGAGGAGCAAGGCAAATCTTGTGGGACTGAGGTTTATTCCACTATATTCCCTTTGGAGTGTGTAATTTATTCCACACAGGGATTCTTCATCTCAGGGGAAACACCTATTTGCATGATTTTAAAGCATTCTTTGTTATTATCCAGATAACAGAGCCTGTGTTCACCTGTTTAGTAAGAAGCTCCATGCATAATGCACCCCCTCCTAAGACATACCTAGAAACAGACATGAAAGAAAACATATTTGACATCAACAGTTGGTAAAAGCTGAAACTGTTCACAGCACTTTAAGCTCTTGCAGGCTAGTTTGGTAGATTTGTTGCTCACATGAAGTTGAAATGCCCTTTAACCAGTAACACACTGTACCTAGCTGGCCATGTTATACTTGAGCAAAGAAGACTATATTCTTTTGGGGTCTAACAATACTAAATTCCTTTAGTTAAAATCAGTGACTGAGCTAGTCCACACAACTGCTTACACAACTGTATACACACCATGAAAGAAGGTTGCTTTATATGGTTGTACTACCATATACTGCCTATACTATGGTGACTTCTGTAAAGAAAGTGAATACAATTCCAAAGACTGTAGGTGCGCCTGCAAATCAAAGGTGTAGGCGAATGAGATAAAGCTCTTCCCCTATAAAACACTTTCTAGTTTCAATAACACTTCATCATACATTGTGTTGACTGGGACCCAGCAGCCAAAACACCTGGTCATCACAAAACCTGGACTGGGGGAATAGAAGTTACCACTCCAAAAATGCAGCCTCTCCTATGATCAAGACATTCAACCAGCATAGACAGGGAAACAATTACGGAGAACCTGCTGGGCCACTCTCTCTTTCATACTCCAGAGAAGTCCAGTACAGCAAAATCAGAATCCAAATGAGCTTTCTGGTGTCTGGCATTGCTTGTTCATTTTTGGGTAGCAGAAGGCCTCACGAACATTCTTTACCTGCACTAACCATTTCTTGAATGCAAAACAGACACACAGCAATTAAAATCAAATTGGAATCAGCACCAGCTATCACAGACTGCCTTTTCAAATATACAGCTATAATTTCCTGTCAGCAGGAGGTGCTTAAAAGCCTTAGAAGGGAAATTTAATTTGCTCTCCAAGGATATATACAAGTTTCTGTGCCACCGACAGCACTTCAAACATTCTACATGACTTTTGGAGCATTGTGTTGAGTTAATTTTAGTATTTTGGGGCTAGCATTTAAGGATGTTTTTGATAAAAATTTTATGGCAGTGATACCAGCAAGAGAAAGTCAGTTAAGACTACAGTTTAAGGCAACACAGGGATCAAGACCCCTTCAGAGGACCAACTCAAAACACACTACAGCAGGAGAAGTAACAGCGATGTTAACCACCCACAAAAAGAGGGCAGCTCTTGAACACTGTGACAAGCAGAGTTTTTCAAAGCTAGACACAAATTAAGCAATTCAAAGAGGAATTGCACCCAGCTGTTTGCCTGCTATTAGTTCAGAAAGCTTGAGAAACAAACCTCCATATAACACTCTGAGCTTTGCACCAAACTCATGTCTTACAGCAGCTCAGGTACATATTTAGGGGAAGTTTCTTGAAGTCTACATGCGAGTCTCAAAACTTTCCCAACCAAACAATCTCAAGTTGTAACGTTTTCACCACAAAGTAAGATTTCTGTAAGGCAACTCAAACCTACCCTCCTGTGAGCACTGGAGATACCACTCGTACAAAGGGAGGATCAAAAGGGAAGTTATCCTGAAAAGCGTAACAAAAACCAGGTTAAGAAATATACTTAATTTAAGACATTGTTTTCCAACCAGGAAGTGTTTCAGCCACCTTATTTGGCAAATGAGATTTAAAGCAGAAGTTTTCAGTTCTGTAGAAATCACTTTCCCACAGTACCGGCTAAAGAGCAAGTACAGGGAAGCTTCAGTAGCAAACAAAGTTGCTTTTCTTTTCTCTTATTAATGCTACAGCTCTATCTTTACCCATGTAACAGCTGAGGGTCATTTCAGTCACTTCCTACAGTATGGTAGAAATTTAACCCCAGCACATCTTCCCATAGACACATACCTTAAAGGAGAAGTTGAGTAAAATGTATTCTACACCTTCTTTTTCTTTTAAGACCTGAAGATCACTGTGCAGTGGGCTATCAGGATCAACCCTATAAAAGGAGCAGGGGGAGACCTTGGATGAAGTTACTATTTTCACTACCTGTAAAGAGTAATTACTCTTAAATACCTCCTTTAGTATTTGTAGCTTACAAAGTGCAATTTAAGGTAAACTGTAGAAAACTCCTGCTCCTTTTACAAAGTAAACACTTTGCCATGAGATCAGCTTGAAAGCTTGCTTCAACTCATTACATTCCCATTGTTATTTTTATAGTTATCTATAACTATATATATATTTTTATATATAATATATATAGTTATCTATATATTTACAGTTAGTACAAAGTAACCTGTTTATTTGAAACCAGCAATTTTAATTCTCTGCAGTTCACTGGAAATAAATGTTCCAACATGAGGGATGAAGAAAAAAAATTAAAACTGGAGTGATCTAGTTTTCAGTACACAGTAAATCCTTTACTTTATGTGATCATCATTCCACTGCAGCTGTTAAAAGTAACCTGCATCAGCACAAGTACTAAAGCCAGCAGCTTCTGCCTACCCGTTTCATCAACTACTTCTTGTAACATGCTGGCGATGAGCAGCCCAGACATTCATTCAGACACTTGCAGGTTAATCCCACCCAGGCTCTGACACCCCAGCAGCTTTTAAAAGAGCCTAGTCAAAAAAAAAAGCCTGCTGCAAGCCTAAAGCAGATGTTAAAGGGGCTGATGGGCTATTACGTCTAATCCTGTGCTACAAGTGAAATCACAAACTTGATAGAACCTATTTCAGAATTACTTGGGCAGCTTCCTACCAATGGAAAGCCCATTCAGAATAAAATCTCCCAGTGCTTCGAAACCCATCGCTTGCAGCCACAGCTTGCACTGGGCCAGTTCAGTGTTACTTGTTCTAGTAACAATATGATTTCTTAATCAAGTAGCCTCTTTTCTGACATTTACCCCTTCATATAGTCTGCACACATTTCATTTGTTTTCAGATGCTTTTTGCTGAGATAGACAAAAACAATACTTCTTCTCTTCTCTTAGTCATCCTGGAAGCCATTCTCTGCATGCACTCCATTTTGTCTTTCTTGAAAACAGAAAGTCAGCCCTGTCCACAGCACTTGAAAAGAGGCTTCAAATCACTGCACAGTGGTTTGAGCACTTTGTTACAGAAGCACTCGATAGACAAGGCCTCCTGTAATACAGCACAGATTTTTCGTACGTAGTCATTGCTGCCGTTTTCAGCTTCAGAATGTTCCTATGCCTCTGATTACACTAAGGGGAAAAAAGCCTTTATTTCAGCAGCTGGTGACATAGTAATTCAAGTCTTACAACTAGGACAGGGTAACAATTCCTACAGGCAGGTAAATTATTGTGCTGAAACAGCTTATGTCCTTATTCACCATGACCTACCTAAACTGATGGAAGTTCCTTCCATCTTTTGCTACCATCCTAGTCTGGACAGGCTTTTCCTTCCTACAGGTTTACCTTGTAGGATGATTGCAGATGACCCTTATCAGGAATTCAATATAACAGCTCTAGAATTAAAGTTACTGGACTTTGGACACAACAAAATGAGTTGTCTAGTGCATGTAGTGAAAAGCAGTACGTAAAAGATGACAGCTTATGAGTCATAATTATGTTATACCTAAAAGTGTCAGTCCTATGTGTCTGCTCAAGTGTAGAGATGAAGAACCAATGACACTGAGACAAGTTCTGTTCCTGCTCACATCTTGAATAAAACTAGAAGCTGCATTTTCTTGAAATTAAAACCAAAAACCAAAATAAAACCATCCAGACAAAGGCTCTGGACAAAAAAATCATTACTTAAAATTTCATATTTTGGAGTCATTTTGGAAAGAGAACTGCACAGTAATGAAAGCTCCTGTAATGCACACTCTGTTGGCTTTGCAAAGGGAGTTTGGTTTTTCTGCCAGCTCAATTACTCCAGTTCAATCTCTGCACACATTTCTGTATACCAGAACTGTAGCCACCACACACTATTTTATATACTCTGGCAAGAGATTCTCATTTATCAAAGACAAGAATCTCTGAAGCAATCACGAAACAGGTTCTTCAGAACATGACAAAACTTCAATGACTTACTTTAGAAGCTTAACGTGCCATTCATACAAGCTGTCATTTACCAGTTCCACTGAATATATCCCTGTAGAAACATGAGATAGAATTAATTACACACTAAAAAGTTAACAAGGTAAAATTTAGTAAAAACATTGTTTGCTTTTGAGTACAAATACTGTCAGAAGATGTAAGCAATAGATAAGATACTGAGATACTGATAGAGCCACATTCTTCCTCCAATAGCAGAAGCACTTCTGAGCAACTATAAGGAAACAAATTCTTTCAGTTCTAATAGAAAAAAACCCCACAGAGAATCCAAATGTTTTTCTGACACATAACCACTTCCCCCATTCCCAGTTCCCCTCGGAACTTCCCACAGCTCCAACTCCAACTTGCTTAGTACTCAGTATATTGTACACCCAGTACAGGACCAATATGCTTTTAAAACACTTAACACACAGTCTGAGTATGCAGCATAACCCAGGTTCTCATCGGTATCAGCACCCCAGGACAGGACACAGGAAAGTGCATGGAGGGGAAATCCAGGAACAGAAGATACTGTATTGGATGTAGCACCTTCCCTACAGCTGGCCAAAGGCAGCAGAAAGGTGCACTAAAAGAACAGCTGTCTCTGGAAGCCAGCTGGTGATTTTCAATGGTCTGCTTGTTTTAAGCATGTAAAACAATAGTTACACCTTTCACTCAAGGGAAGGATGAAAGGTTGTTTGCCATTCTCCTGTATTTTCAAGCTTCTTCTCTGCAGACGCTCCCAAGCAGTCCAGGAAGAAACAATAAACCTTTAAGATTTAGAAAATACTATCAGTGATGCCCAAAAGCTTCATCTCTTCCCTCGCAGACTATTCATGCATACATACTGAACAACTATGATTACACTTGTGACCTGGGCTAATATTTAACAGCGTATCTGTTGCTGACGTAATTACTTGGAAGATGTACAGAATTGAGGAATCAGCAGAGGATTTTTGGAGGCTCCACCAGCAACAGACTGCAGTCACTGCATTCTCTCCAGGTAATTAAAGTATTCATACGTCTGAAATTTATTATTCTAGAGTAGATCATCTTGCAGCTGAAACTTTTAAGCATTAGTACTTGAGTACAGATGACATTTCAAGTTGTCCAGGCACCTTTATTTCTAAAGCATTCCAAAACTCAATAAACCAGGTAAAGAAATCATGCTTGTTTCTCTGTACCACAGTGCCACCAACAAGTTCAGGACTGACAAGATGTGCCTCAAGAGAACAGCAAGGTACTTATTCAGCCTTTCAAGCACCTATGATTTGAGCTGAATACTACCTGTATGTTCTCACGAACAGCAGCAGCAGGGCTGCTCTCTGCCGTGGTATAGAAGCTTGTTAACAACACGGTCCAAGGTTCAGGGGTCGGGCTGTTTATAGTCAAGAGGTGTTATTTGGAACCAGCTCATATGATTTTTGCTCAGTTTAGAGAGAGGGCCATCCATAGAAGTGATGGAAGTAAAAGCGAGCACACGAAACCATGAAGCCAGCAAAAAATTAAAGATGAAGAGGTGGGGAGAAAAGCAGCTCCTTCCAAAATAGAGGCAATGTCTTACTCATTGCAACTTTACTACAACTAGAAGTCCACACAGTCTTTGGATATGGCAGTGAGCTGTACCTCTGTATATACTTCACTACATATTAATAACACAGCTGCTAAAAAGATGAACAGAAAACATTTCCGTTAGTATCTCCAAATTCTTTGTTCCTCCCTCTTCTTCCTTCTCTCTGTCATGCTCACCCCCAATTATATTAAAACCCTTGTGAATTCTTCCATGCAAACTAACCAAATCTGCACCTTTATACCTGTGTGATAATCTTAGTTTGGAGGACTTGCAACTCCTATTATGAAAACAGGTGAATGAAACTGTCTAATTTATTGCAGAATACCTTAACCTGCTGGAGTATTTTACTTCTGTTAGCTCATAAGAAAATGAGCTTTCTGTTTGATCTTAAGGGTACTTCTTCACTTAGATTTTCCAGGTAGATAAGCAACTTGCCCGTTGACAGCAAGCTGGCTGTCATCTTTTGCTTGAACAATAGTATTTCAATCAGTAAAGAAGCTTCAGTTCCAAAACGGACCCTACTTTGAGTGTACACCCATAGCTGAAGTCCTGGCAGTGTTTTCTAATGCTACTTCTTATTAAAACAGTTTAACAGAAAAGAAAAAAATTAAAGGACTATTACTACAACTCTTACCTGCTTCAGAAGCCCCAGTGTTGTCCTGTTGTCAATCCTGAGAACACGTAACCTCACATACCCTAACTAAAGTGATTCTTATGCAACTGACGAGCAGCCTTAGATGTTCTGGCTTACATCAGCAAAAATGAAAACAGACTTAAATTACCTTGCAACAGTTACCAGAACCTTTACTTTTCACAATGGTTCCCTCTGTGTGTTAATGGTAAGAAATTAAATTAAGGGAAAAATGGACCATGGAGCAAGTTCTCAGAAAAAGATCACAGGTAAAAAAACCAAACCAATGATCTACCATGCCCCTACTGCCATGGTGGCAGCTCTCTAACAACTAAACACAGACCTAGGCTAGAAAAGCAGAAGGTTTGTGCAAAGGAGAGGAGCTGATATTTAAACTCACTCAAGTCCTAAGATTAAATGAAGCCATAAGGAACGGACCTAGGTAAGTTTTATAACAAACAACATCATTTACTGGCATCATTTAATAAATGTAGCAGTAGGATGCTGTTACAAAGCAGGACTGCCGTGGTTTTATAGCATCAACCCCCACTTGACACTTCAACATTTTTTAGAAAAGGCATCCAGCTGTAGTCTTCTTACATATTCCTAAGTCATAAGCTAATAGTAAGTTACTATACTCTTCCTAGCACCTCAACTTCCTTTGCAGTTTAACAGGGTTTATTTTTCCTCATCAGGGTATGCTTTCCTGCATCAGGAGTTACATCTTTTTGCAACTAGTTAAGACCTGTTAATCTAAAGCCAAGAAATGGCATTATTAAGGAACCCAAATCCTCTCCTCAAAATACACCTATTACAGGGGCTCTTTGGTGACTCCAGCAGTACCACTATGATTAAGCACCATACAGTCTTTACAGCCAAGTAGACTTGTTACAGCCAATCTTTGTTCTAACCACAAAAACAAACCCTGAAGACCCTACACAGGCAGAAAAGCATCCCATGTGACTAACATAGATCTATTTCTAGGCTCTTCCTTAGTCCCAGTAATCCATTCTTTGCTGGACAGATGGTGATTAGGGCATACTGGCAAGCACTCAGTTGCAGTAAAGCCTAAAAGTAGGCTAGCATTAGATCAACACTAGGTTACCTAATCAAATTTATACTTCAGACACTGTCCACAGTACTTGAGCACATAAAACTATTTACCTTAAATAGGGCAAATCAAAACAGGAGCTTAATGTCTCTTCAACTCTGTCCTTTAAAATGCCATAGCCACTGAGGACACTTAAGACCACTACAAACAAACTACAGCAGAAGTTCAGTAAGAGACAGAGGACTACAATTTAGACTAATTTTCTAATTGGGCATTCTTTCTGTTCCCATCCTGGTTCTTGTATCTGGCTGCAGTGATGGAGCTGTCTACTCAGCTGACCTACAGGAATACAACTTGCCTGAAATCTGTGTTATCTCTATTTCTTGTACAGTAACACTCAGACAACTCAATATAGTGATTCCTTTGCTGAGCTGTTTAGGTACAGCCCGTCTATGCAACAAATAGAACAGCCAAGCACCCACCTACCTAATACTAATCAGTGTTTGTTATTCAAACAAACTTAAAAAACAAGCTTGTTTTCAATTACCATTTGTATCCTTATTCCAAGGAATACATAGAGCTGAGGATCAGATTAACACCATCACAATAGAAGTAACAGCAGTGTAGTGTAAGTTAAATCCTGTATAACAACAAAACCTTCTGCTGTTGAACACAATTCTCTCTATAGCAAGCATACCCTTGTGGGCAGTACCACCCACTAGTGGTAGTGGTCAAAGCTTTTGCCCTATATACATGGAGAGCTGAATTTCAGGTAGTTTTGAAATCTCAAGAAATCCCACAGGCATAGTCTTGAATTGTTGTTCATGGTCACTCACCCCGAGAGCATTCTTCTCGGTGAAGCTTTGCGTTACAGAAAGGAAGAGCATTTTAGGAGGATACGTACCCTCGCTTCCTTTCTCTCCACCAATACACTTTTATGTAACAAGATTCTATACAATGTATGTATCCATGTATTTTTATATATGTGCACACATATACCTACATACATGTATATACATACATATGGCAACAAAACACAGAATTAGCAGGAAGTATTTGCCAAGAGAATACTTTTAAAGCACGTTTTAAGAAGGGAAATCTGAAACATTTTACCTGTTTTATAACTCTGTGATCTATATATATCCCTGAGTTCTTTCATAAGTCGATCTGAAGCCTGAACTGACCCAGAGACTGCACCCTGAAACAAAAAGAGACTGCAAATAAGCGAAAAGTAACATTTACAAACAGCTTTATTTCCATTACAAAGTTACAGTAACTCGAAGATTCTGTACTAGGACCAGGCTGCTGAAAAGTTACATTTTCTAGTGAGCAAGACTACCCAAAAGAAACAAGACCCTCTAAAGCAGCACATTAATATATTCTCCTACATGGTATAGGTGATACAAATTTTTAATCAAGGTACAACAGCCATCTTTTCTGTTAAGTAATGTAATCTTTCTAGCATTTTGTTTCCAAGATGGATCCACAGTACGTATCTAATAGGGAAATACTTCCTTTTACCTTCTACTCTTACACACTGGAAGGAAAAGAAAGACTAATGCTAAGAACAAGCTTCTGAACATACAGTTTTACTGTTTTCTCAGAAGTGTATATGCAACCAGGGCATGAGTCTCTTCTGTTCTTTCAGAGCTCAGTTCTCTATTGCTCAGCATCTCAAAGTGACAAAATAACATACCACTTCTAAACCTGGTATTTTAGCCTGAGATTCAGGGTGAAAGAAAAAAGAAAAAGAAGAGGAAAGAAGTGACATGCATACAAAATAAGTGGCTCCCAAAAGCACCAGTTAGTGATGAACTAATGATCACACCAGTTATCAAGTAACTGATGTCTATTTAATATCAACAACTGCTGCAGTGGATGTATTCTGCATACATCCCCCATGCTGACAGTTCTGTGACCTGGGTATTAAATTTTGTCTCAATTTTGAGCTTGAAAGCGAGGCCAGAACCTTTCTCTCTTACAACACTTAAGTGCTTATTTAGAATAACATGATCGTCAAAAATACCTTCATTACTCTCTCCAATTCAATGCCAACACTGGGCAGGACAGATTTTGATACTAAACCTTAGATGCCACATGATTACCTTGTTTGTATATTCCACCCAAAATACCATTTTACACTCAAGATTTCTGGAAAACATGAAATGAAAACAAGCGAAAAGCCCTACCACCAAACACAGAAGAAGCCCTCACCTAGAGTAAAGTCTGGTTCAGCTTCTCTATATGAAATACAGAATGATTACATTAGGCGTCTGTTTTTCTACTCCATCTATAAATTGGAGAGATTTGGTTCTTCAGTTTTCTTTTGGATACTATGCACATCTATGTACAAACAGATTCTTTTTGGACAGAAGTGTCAGAGAAGTATTTCTGGAGAAGTCTGATGCACTAATGACCATTGCTTAATACGTGAAACATCACCCCTGACTGCCTGAAGGCAACAGTGACACTACACATTCCACAAGTTCTTAATTGTAAGATCAAATTATTTCTTAATAAGGATTAAATATCAGTAGTAGTTACTTGATGCCAAAGCCTCCCCATACTCCTTTGTCTTCTCTGTTCAGTAGCACCATATAATATGCTTAGCTTCATGCTATAATCTGTAGACTGCTCTTTTAGCCTACTCATTTTCATATTTCTCTGGATTTAATTATGCAGATTACTGAATTTCCACTAGTTTTTCTTAACAGACCAGTATGAAGAATGAACTTTATAATTAGATATGCAAATTAAAGGCAACTCCTTTAGTCTGTTTAAACAAAAGCCACACAAAGACAGGGCTCCAGAGAAGTCATTTCTCAGTTTACTTAAGTCCCTGCCCATAGAGCACTATCAGACAAAGAAAGAATTTCTCTTCCTTTAACAGCAGGTGAATAAAGTTTTATGGGAAAAAGCAGCTTGATTATTCAGACAAGCTATCTGCAAATTACTAATATTTATACCATTTGCAGATTGGCAGGAAAAGGAAGCAGCACACTTAACACAACACAGTGTTAAGCACCATTCTCTGTACAGTCTGTGCTTTTTCAGACCTGTACTGTGTTAAGGTTGAAATTCAAAGTGTTGAACACAGACAACACGTCATAGGGAAGTGTCGAGATTTTGGCTTCCTTCTGTGCAGGCTGTGCAATATCCTTGCTTCATCTGCTGCATTTCTTACTGAAGGAACTGGTTTAAGTATTTCACAGAATATCAGCCTCTAAATGCAAGCAATTTAAAACCAACTTGGACTCTCAAAGACATCCTCCAGAAAACTAGTTTCCTCATTGCACCTTTATTCCCATCAAATTAAGCTACTGAATTTCTGTACATAAAGTTGGAAGGTCACCTTTGCATATGAAAATTTAAGGATCTTCTCTACTGTAGTGATTTAAAACCCCAGACCTAAAATGCTCACATACTCCTGTATGCCATTTTAACTGATGAGAAACTGAAGTGGTGTTTAAAAAAAAAGGTTAATTTCAGTGTGTGTAAGCTAAACTCAGTAGATTTAGTCTATAACAGTATTTTGCACCCTTTTTTCCTAAGAGTTTCTGGTTGGGGTGCTCCTCCTACAGCAATATTACAGATAGTTAGACTCACTCCTCTGATGAACTGATAGAGTGCAAACCAGTAATCTATAATCAAGAAAATGAGGCTAGCAAGCTTAACCTAACAAGTTTAGCACAGGAGCTTACTTTATGTGCTCTTAACTACCCTTGGACAAAGCTGTAGAGATTAACTCCTATACCTGATAGTAACCTTAATGCCAAACACCACTGTTTTGAAACATGAACTCTCCATTCTGGTATCACTTTTGTTTTTACGCTACTGTTTTTACAACTACTGTTATAGATTCATTCATAGATGTTAAAGTACAGTTTAGAAGAGAGTATTACTTGCATCACACGATTGTGTGATACAGTTGATCACTGAGTTCAGTTTTGACTATACTAGCACTAAAATTAAAACTTTAACTTTCAGTAACTCACTATATGCAAAGTATAACTTTGAAGACTGAATTCAGATATAGATAATGGAGTATCCTTCCAGAAAAGTGGAACTTACCACTCCAAGGGAGATAAAGCTCTAATTTCTCCACTTGAGAGATCAAGATCAAAATCACAACTGCCTTAGAAATAACTGGTCAACCACAGGATCTGACAGGTACCTGGGCTTGATTCCAAGTGCAGAAAGGCATAGCCATTTGATCTGTAAACTGAAGAAATTAACAGCGCTGCTAGAGAAGCCCCAGGTGACTTCTTTCTGGTTAAGTAATCAAATAGGTCCAAGAGGTCTCACTTGATCATCCTCTCCTGTACAAGCATACTTGTGGTTCTTCCAGGACAACAACAAGATAAGCTGGAGAGATCCCTGCTACAGGAGGTAAACATCTGTGTGGACAACATGCCAGCTGCTGAGAGTTGCAAGTACCTGAAACACCTGATGCAGGAATTCCCAAAGCCAAAACTGTTGGACATGAAAACTATTCATCAGATGCATCACTACAAGCTTGTCTTTGTCCGGTAAGGACATGCTTCTGCCACTGCAAGGAACATGAAACTTGGTTGCAGGTCAGTACAGGCATTACATTTTTCAGAAGTGTTTCTACCCTTAATTAATATTTTATTGCAAACACATGCATTTGAGTAAAATACTTTACAGAACAGTTAAGCAGCTTCCAAGACAACTGGGACTTCAGAACAGAGCTGCTGCACTTGCAGGTCAGTAGGGCACACCTAACTGCAGCACAGCAATGCCACTGCCCTAGCTGTCTACTGCACTAAATCTCCAGAGATCGGAGGTTTTGCAGCCTCAGCTTTTCTCCTTTGGACCTTTTCTTTTCCCTTTCCATCTCTCAAAAGACAGCCACAGTCTGCTTCTTAAACTGAGTTGTAGGAGGTGCAGTTCACTGCAGTTGTAAATCCAAAGACTGAATTGCCTTTTTTCTGTCTGCTCTGAAAAACACTGTCATGCATCAAAACAGTGAATTGCCTCACTCACAATACATTCCAGATAGCTCAGCCACATGACCAAAATTACCTGCTAAAACAAAACACAAAAAATGGAGTCTCCCCCAAGATAAGAAAATAAAACCAAAAGTGACCCCAAAAGAACTAAAGAATACGAGCTTGCTCTATTGCCACTGAAGATCCTTACTATTTGTGCAGAAGTACATTCATTCCTAGAAGGTAGATTCATACTTCAAGGATTAGAATGAAAATGGAAATGACACCTCAGACCTCATAAAATCTGAAGATGAAAGTGGAGACATTTGAGACTTTTAGAGGAAAGTGCATAAATGTCTCAGTAGGAAATGGAAAAAGCCAATAGCATGATCTAAATAAAAGAAGCATTAATCTCTAAAATGACTGTGGGGAGAGACCTCTGAAAAGCAAGCAGTAGCAAGTTGTTAAATATTTGAAGTTAATGATTCCAGTTCAAAGACCTTTCTTTTTCCTACTCCCAGTACACAAGTGGTTCTTTAAAGTTATTACAATGTTAAGAGGAGGATTAATGCTTTCTCCAAGTTACATACTGCACCACAAGGCAAATATATTTCCTGATGCCAGAAAGAAAAGGCTTCCAGATACTGCCAAGGAAGAAAACTCGTTTACAAAATTAGTAGATGCATATTCCTAACTACTATAAAATACACAAACCCTCAAAATTCCTATGACGAAAGACCTCAGCAGCAGAAAAATGTCTTTAACCTGATAGGAATACATGAAAACAGGACTGCATGCACTCCTTTCCTGCGGAAAAGCCTTTTTGCATCATCTGTAACTTCAACCTGCATTCCAGCCAAGGGGAGAGAGGATTTGGGCCAAAGAATATGTAAAGAAGCCGAGAAGTCTTCTGGTTGCACTGGGCAGTAGTCAAAGTGCTAGGCTTCATGCTCCCTCTTCCAACATCAAGTGTACAAATGACACAGGTGTGGTTTACTCTCAAAGTAGACAAAGTATACCCAAAGAGCTGTGCAGTATGTGTGAAAACCAGACTGTGTTTATCCACTCTGTTTACATTTGTGGAACTCACACTGCCCTTTAAGAAAACCCACTGTGAAGGGCTGTACAGATGTAAGTTTTGCTCTGTTAGGATACTTTCTTAGAGCACCTTTAAAATGTCCTATTCAAAGTCCCATGTTTTGGCAGCATAAAGGGGCATTTAAGTGCTACTAGGTTAGCTCTTTCCTAGGTCAGTAGTGCAGCTCCAGCTTTCAGTTCTCAAGCACTTAAAAGTAAACCCTCACAAGTCCTTTGAGAAATTCCTTAAGCAGTGCAGCTATTTCTGGTGACCCACAAAAATGCCACAGTTCCTCAGCAGCAGTTGAATACCCTGTTCCCTGTACTCAGCTGACCTTGTTTATGTACCAGCGTCAACGAGAGTGTCTTGGCATGAGAAACAGCTATTATGTAAGTTGAATCTGCTGTTGTCAAACAGAAAACCAGCAGTGCTCATTTCAGCTCCACTAGATGTGGAGGGGAAAAAGCAAAAGGAAAGGCAGTATTTGCCAAATGGGGAAAAAAAAACCAACAGACAGCAAAAGGAAATCTGCAGGTTTAGGAGGCTTTCCACACCAAGCAATACCACCAAAACTACAAAAACCCTTTCCCAGTTTTACCAGTCTTAGATGATGGTAACCCATGCCTTTCAGGCTGCAAGAGGATTTATTTGCTTTGACAATTAAGGAGTTGTTACCGTGAGGTCTGAGTTGTAAGTACAGAAATAGACGGAATCTCACTAGGCATCTTCTGAAACTGTGAACATTAAAGTTTAGACAAAACTAGCAAGTGCTCACTGTCTGTTTTAAGACTATAGAGCAAATGCAGTTTGGCACCTTATGTTTACCCGTTTTTAAGCACTGAAATGCTGATCAAGTTTGGGTTTAATTTGGTTTGGGTTTTTTTTTATTGTCACTGTGTTGGTTTGGGGTTGGTTTCTTTTGAAGGGTGATCATTACTGTACACTTTCCTTCAGACAACCTGGTAGGAAACTACTGAATTCTGAAAGCAGTCTCCTCTAGCAAACTATTTCCTACTGCCTGTTTTAGCAGAACACAAGTTCAAGGTATTTTTCAGAGGTTTGCACTCAAATCATACCTGAACAGGGACAGTAGCTGAAGAACTTTGATTGAAGGATTTCTATTTTATTTCCTTTGTAAAGCAGATGGCTACAAATTATAACCCTTCTCCATGTTAAAGTGGCAGTAACTAAAAGGAAAAAAGTGTTTTTTTCCTAAGCAAAAGTTATTTAGGGCCAGTAATTCATTGCAACAAATAGTCAAGACCCTGCTAACTAAATTCTTGTGATAACCAGATCTCTCAGGAGCACATCCAGTATTACAAGATTGGCTCAACTAGCACTAAGCACTTGGAACATATAGAGCTCCCGCTACAAATCAAAACATGTTTACAACGGCTATCCTCTTGAATCTAACAATTTTTAAGTGCTTTTTTAGGCTTTTTAGAAAATAGTTGCTAAAAAAACCCAAAACCAACCCACAATCAAATGTAAGAACTAGGAAAAGCTGGCTCCTTGGCCAAAAATCTAGGTCTTTCCTACATACCAATCCTGAACCTTATTCCTTCCCTAATTAGCTGCAGTTCCCTCTGTATCTAACTACTGCTCACATCTTCAGCTATTGGCTTAATGAGAAATAGCTCACCTTGTGTCTGGACTTGATCTGCACACCTACAGACTTGCCAAGCAGCATGTAACAACTTATGAAGGTCACACAGTAGAAGGCAGCAGTTCAGGCACCTTCTTTCTTATGAAAATCATAGACCCCCTTACCTTGGCCAGGTAAGGACTTCTGGTCAGGACCAGAAGTATTGAAATTTCAGCATTGCACACCTGAAGCCTCTGTGAAACTGCCTGGATTTCTTGGAAGCCAGGCTTAATAAAATTTGGGTTGTATGACATCATCATTCCCTCCTACATGCACCTTTGAGAAGTAAAAGCTTCTTTGGAACTTGGCACTTGTGACAAAACACTGCTAAGCCTCTAGAGAGCAAACAGGTTTTTACAACTACCTGCTAGGAGGATAACTCGGAAAACTGTGATGATAAAGCTACAGAGGTGCTGAAGGCCCCTGGCTTTATGTATGACAAACAAAAAAAAACAAACCCAAGACCATCCTTCAATAATTTCCATGTGGCACAGATATTACTGAAAACCAAACTCATGCATAAAATGGATTTAAAGCACAAACTCCTGGGTTTAACTAATTACATTAAGTCACCTATGACTTTTAATGCAGTCAATTTTATTTATGACTTTGTTAGTTTACTAAGGGCTCAGCAACAAAAGTCATGCTTACAACCTAGATGCTTTCTGCTGTTTCTGCAAGGAGGACCACTGTTGATAACAAAGGTGTTGAGCAAAGAGAAAAGGACAGTCAAATAGATATCTCTGGAAATCAGACAGGCAGTTGAATATTGTTAACAAGTGTGAAACCTGGATTTACATGTAGGAGTTGACTCCGGGGAAAAGCTAAAAGATGCTTCCTCATCCAAAATGCCAAGAATAACTCAACCCAGTTTGACAAAATAAATTAAGATAGCATTCTCTTAGGCTGAATGAGAGTGCTTTGAGGTAGCTTTTGTGCCCCTGTGGGATCTGGATTGCCAACTAACTTCCTGTGCCAAAGATTTTGATGAAAGATGAGTCCATTTACTAAGTGACCTTGGAATCTTAGCTGGCCTATTCAAACTTCTCCAAAAAGAGCTATTCAGGTCCCATAACTTGCGACATTTGTCCTATTTATGCCGGAAGTCAGCTACAGGTTAACCTGTGTCTTGGTGTATAGCAATAGGCTTTATTTACTGAAAACCATGCCTATTTCAAAGCCAGTAATATTGCAAAGAAAAGCCATAAAAATCAGTAACTCACATTTAAGTGATCTTGCCTTTGATTTTTTCTGATTTTTTCTAAGATTGCAAGGTTCTCTTTTTCAATGCCTTCATCCTCAGATTTCTTCCCATCAACTGGCTCCTCCTCCTTCATATCGTAATGATCCAGATCTTCAATGTCCTACAGGATGCAGAATAAAGGAAAATTCATTGTAAATAGCTTAACTATGCTTTTTGTTCAATGAAGCCCCCCCAAGGGCATTTGGGGATATAGTCACATACTGCACAGCACTATGTATCAGTGACTGTTGGATGCCATTTCTATTTTGCACTAACTTCACTCTCCCAAGCAACATTATTCACTGGAAGTGTAGGGAGCCTTCACAATACAAGTGAGACTCAAATTCACAACATGCTTCTGGTCACTGAAACAAGCACAATAAAACCTCTGCAAGAGGTTAAGAATACAGTGAATTAGCCCATTAATGTAGGTAGAAAATAGGAAGGCATTTTGAACAGGGTTTAAGAATCCAAAAGTACCCAGCACTAGAGTGTCTCCAAGGTGTTTCTAAAAGCAGACTCTTTTTTCCATTACAATCCTAGCTATATTACACTGCTGGCAAACAATGATTAATGTACCCGGCAGGCCTAGCACAACCCCTCAAGAAAGTTAAATACTAGAAAGCTAGCTGTACTTCATTCAAGGTGAATTTTGGCTGAAAATTAGATGCAGCAATTTTGGAATTAAGATACAAGACAAAATCATGCAGTCAAGTATTCTGATTACACAAGCTAACACTAGAGTCCTGAGCTCTAGACTAAGACTCAGAAAAATCTTCCACTTTGCATTCTGAGATGGGGTTATCCTGTTGCAGAGGAGTACTCAAGACAACTGTCTCTAAGATGACGCAAGTGCTATTTGTGGAGAGGAGGGGAAGGATTTAAATACCTTGAGATGAAAAATGAAACACCACAGCAGCCACACCAGCAACCTCTGAGTACACAACTACCAGATCTGCTCCAATATGCAGTGCTCCACCACACCTGTGGCTACTATTTATGCACCATCTGTTCACATGGCAGGAAAACCTGGCCATAAATGCAAACTCAAGGATGCCTTATGCAGTAAGAAACACACCCATGTGGTTCCTATGATAACACTGCAACAGACTTTACACTGAGTATTCTTTAAAATGCTCGTGTTACTCAAAATAATGACAATATCTCTACAAACTGTAAAAAGCTTTTCAGTTTAGAAATGGGACTACATTACAAGTTGAAGATATGATTGACACATGCAGTGCCACCTGACAGCTTACAAATAATGACAGACAGGACAGCGAACATACTACCTTTAAAGAAGATCTGGCTCCAATACATGCGATCTGGATCAGGCTAAACATGATGTAAGACAGACTGCTTCAAATTAATTCCAGAACACAGGTAACATTTAGATCTTTTCTAAATTAGACTTTAGTTATTCATTCTTACTACACACCTTCATTGAAAACCTAAGTGTGAAGTAGTCAGAACAGTTCTCCTATAACAAGGTTATTTATTACAGTGGTTTAAAAAGCAAGCATCCTGGGGCTATGCTAACATGTAGAAGTCAGTCAAAGGGGTGGTTCTCACACAGTACAAAGCTCATTAAAAGCAGCACTGTCTTGTCAGACAGTGACTTAAGTCCCTTAAAGTTTAGTGTGGTTGTTTCTGACGTCCTTCCATTTCCTTCAAGGTATTCTAGTTAAAAACTAGCTCACCTGTTTCATGAATCAGCAAACTGATCTACTCTTAGCCAGTCTGCTTCAACCTGGGAGGCACTTTCAATTGTACTGGAGCCAGTTCATATGCTGCTTGAAATAGGAGTTAACAGTGCAAACTTACTGCTTTGGCACACAAGGTTATGTATTGTTTGACTAAAGCACAAACAGATGTCCAATTCTCTGTATCCAAGTACCTCACAGCTGAGATCTAGGTTTAAGAAGAAAATTTCACTAGGTTTGTGGTGGAAGTGAAAGCTGACATTAAGGTAAACATCCTAATTTTTTCAATATCTTTTGTGTTGAACTCTAGGGAGATTACACATTACAGTTTGGCTTAACAAACAGGCAGCCACTGCAGAGCAAAATGCCAGAATTCTACTAGATTACGATAACAATCTCATATATAGACATACTTCACCCATGTCTTCTTCCTCCTCCTCCTCTGATGTAACTTCTTCTGTTGTTCCATTCTGTAATACAACAATGAGGTTTCTGCATAAATCGTGCATATGCTCTTTCCTTTCAAGAAGTCTCCTATCAAAGAGAAAGCACTGTACACACAAGTTACACTTAGCAAGGTCTGCAAAGGGCTGAAGTTTAATGTGAAAAATACACAAAGATGCTTCCCTGGAGTATGACAATGAAAAGATTTCTTGAAAGAAGCAAAGATAAACAGAATGTCACAAAGAATTGCATGTTAAGTTCAAAGAGGAAACTTAGGATTCAGACAAGGATATCCCGTTCTGAGCCAGTGACAAAGAGAGTAAACAAATCAAGCAGGTTATAACTCATGATCTACAAAATCAGGTCACAGCTCTACATGGCAGACCTCTAAAAATCAAAACCCCAATGAATTTTAGACCTCTAACACTTAATGGATTTCTGTCTCCCTACCTAGAACTCCTATGTAACAACTACTGTCATCTTATAGCCATTGTTTCTACATTATTTGACTAAATACCAAAGCAATACATTGAGTTCATTTTTTACGGCTTTCCATTTCAGGATACCACTTCAAGTTCAGGAAGTTTGAGCTGCAGGAATTCTCAGAACCATTCATTTTGATATGCTTATCCTCTGCTTACTCTTCCCTTGGCAAAGAAGAAATCTCACTGCTGTAAACAATGCAGAGGACTAGAGGGATCTTTGGTCTGATTTATTAAGGTGATTCTTATTTGCAAATTATCTGACTTTCCTGGCTAAGAAACCTGCCATGAGTTTGGTTTTGATTTTCAGAGCGTAAGCAAGACTCTCCAAGGAAGCTAATTCCTAACATTAGAGGCCTATTGCCTTACAGTTGCACTGCTCTGTGGGTGGCGAAAAGTCCCATAAGGTTACAATTTGGCACATGACCAAAATTAAGCAAGTTATTTGTCATTACTATAGTACTGTCACCACAGGAAAAACATCTGTTACACTACATGAGTTTTGAGAAATCATGTCATCCTATCATGTATAAGCAAACCAAAATACTATAAACTTACTAAAAATACAAAAAGGAATAGAAACTGTCAGTTACAAGGTCCGTTTTCAGCACAATACAAAACATTTTAGTTAACTAGAACATTTCACAGCCCTTCACAACTCTTAATTTGTCAAGTGCACAAAAAGTGACCAAGGCACCTCAGATACTCCCTACCCAAAGTAGCATACGGTCTTGATACCCCATGTCTCTGCAAGGAATTGAAGAGGAAGGAAAACATCAGTAGCTCATCCAAGCGCACACTGAAAACCATACACCCTTCAAGAAAAAGTAAACAGTGTTTAATCGCGTTTACATCTTGGGAAAAATTTGGGAAGCACCAGGAATACACAGTGACTGGCTTGAGCAGTATTTATGAGGGAATTAAACTGACAGCATTGGTATCACATACACACCTTTCCATCATACAGAAACTGCAAAGTAAATTGTGTAATATTATCACACCATTATTAAATGGATTTGCAAACAATATTCAGATTGGGGACACCATAAAGCAACAGTGCTTCCTATCTCAGTTCTAGCTTACAAAAGGTTTAATCATTCCCACCATCTTGTTTCTTGGAATTGAATAATTCCTCCTTCAGTGCAATAAGGAGGTGCCCATAGTTTTTTTTTTTTACCTGTCCTGCTGGTAATGGCTGATCTAACATCTCAACATCTGGATGCTGAGGAAGATTATATAGTCTGCAGAGGTCGCATATTAATCGCTTCAGCTGCTGAAGAAGCTATAAAAAAGAAAATATGGAAGCATTTATTAAAACCGAAGCACAAACCAATACCTTTTGAATTTTCTTCACACGCTGGCACTGAACTTCCAGTGTACAGCATTAAAATCAGTACGCACTGGAATGCAGTTCTCTGTAGTCATTGTAATAAAATCCCTACAATGGGAAACCAAGGACATGGCAAGTTAAAGATGGCTCCCATTCATCTCCTCATGTCAAGTGAAAAAAGCCATGAGCAAAAGAATAACCTGCACCATCCATTCATTCCAGGCATAGGTGTCTCAGCCACAAATCACTAGAGATTAATCAAACAGTCATATTCCTTGAGACAAGATGGTCCATTCCAGTTTCCTAGGTTAAAGAACCATGTCTTCAAAAAACCAAAGAGGAACAGTCTGATTTTCCACATCCTGAATCCTTTTACAGCACACTCCAGTGAGGCACTAGAAGCAAGACAAACATTGTACAAGGCATAGAAACCAGCCAACTTTCGGCTAGAGCCCAAGCAGTTTGCTTGCCCTGCTTGCTGCATCCTGTATCAGGTTGAGGCACAATCTGTTACTACCACTGGTTTTTGTTTCCAACTTTCAGCATTACATTGACTGTATTCTGGTAACTGCAAAATATGGAACATCTTTCCTTCACTCTAGTGCTATCCAGAACATCAATTAGTTCTGCAGAAAGAAAGAAACAAACTCTTCTTCTCAATCACCACATTAACGAAGTGGATTTCCATAGCTGTTAACTAAATCCAGGCAGCCTCAGATTCCTAATTAAGGCCAAGACCATAAAACACCGCATTTCCTAACTTCCATGGTTATCTCTTTGCATGGTTATATCAGAAAAACAAAGGAAGAGCTATGGAATACATCTGCAAGATGGTCAATGCCTTATTATTTGCAGAATAATAGCCTAGGTGAAGCTTGCAAAAATTACACATCCATTTAGGGACTTCTCTTCCAGATACCAAAGGGAGGGAGTTTGTACACTGCCACTTGTAGAAGGCAGTGTGCAAGACAGCCATTTCCGTAGGCCTGCCCTTCAGCACTACCAGTAGTTACACTTAGCACTGCAACCCCCACTCCATGAAGGAAGGAGACTCAAGCAATGTGGCCTCACCCAGGGTTCAGTACAGATTATATCATCCTGGAACAACAATGCTTCTACAACACTCTTCAGTGTTTGCATACTCTGTTTCTTAACATAGACAATAAATGAAGGTATCCAAGAAAAATTCAGTCACTCCAAAATATTCTGTCTACATCTTGCTACTGCCAAGTCTAAATGCTCTCAGTTTACCCTACTGCAAGTGAAAATTCAGCCTCTCCAGGGTTAAGAACTCATTTCCAAGCAGTGACAAGCAGATGTTGCCCTCATGCTACCTGAAAGCTTCAATGCTTTTCCCTTCTCCAGCAGAATTCAACACTGCTGTTTAATAAAAATGTTACATGTTCAGAGGCCACAAACTGACATACCAGCCTGCACTACAAGAATTATGACTTTCTCTCCATCATACATTTGCTGTTTCTGCATCATTCCTGACAGCCATCCTTCACTCAAAAATAAAGCAGGTGACACCAAAAGAACTGCTGTATCAGCAATACATTTCTTCTGAATATACTCATGAGATGTGATAGTTTTATGTTGCCAGAACCTTACTTTAACAATCACTTCTCTCACCAGTGTCAAGACTCTACACCCGTTTGAAACTTCGTGGGTGTCTGAAACATCAGGAAATCTTTTAGCAGGCAGAAAGCAGCTTAATCAAAAAGTTAGGTGGTAGATAGAATCACAGGTCTTAGAACTGTTATTCTCAATATGGTAAGATGCTTAAAGATGCACTGCTGCACACAGTGTTGAGAACATTTTCCCCTGCGTTAAACAACACTGCATCATGGAGAACTGGAGAATCAACTATAAAACTTCGGGAACTGTGATTTTCTTGCACGTAACTGTAAATTTCGGAAGCCATTCATTTTTTCACCTCTGTTTTGAGGTGTACCAAAGAAATCTAAACAGCTGGGGAAAGAACAGCCCCAATGGCATTTGGCTGGCCCAAAGATTAGGAAAGTAGATGAATGCAACATTAGGTGCATCTCTACAGAAAAACAGGAAGGGCTGAGGAGAGAGTGAAGCACTGCTTCCTGCTCTGCTTCCTCCACTCCCCATGCTCCCATGAGAAACCACCTGAATTACAAGGCAGGAGGACCCCCTGCAGCCAAGACCTAACACATTGTAAGCTCCTCTCACTTCTTTCTGAGCACAGCACCACTGCGAGGTACGTGAACACTCACAGAGCAACAAAACTGCTGGCACAGCCTGCACCAGATTACACAGCAGCTGTGTCTGCAGAAGTGTCTTCCTGCCTCTAGCAGCACACTGTCACCTTCTCAACTGCACTGGCACCAGTGATCACACAACCATGCAGCAGCTTACAAGCTTATTGCCAGATCAATTCATGATCACCAACTCCAATTCGCAAGCACCAACTCCATCACCAAGGGGAGGCAGGAATGGATAGCTAAGGGCAGGACCCCCCTCTCTGGCAACAACCTACTCTTAGGGGCTAGCTTAATGCAACTTCCGAAGTGCAGTTTCAGTTTTATAGCCAAGTTGTTTTACTTGACCTCAGTTTCTACAATGTGCAAAGGTGGCAGCAGAGTGAAAAGCTGGTCCTGTCTCTACAACCCTTCTTCCTTATTGTTACATTTTTCCTCCACTGGAATTTATTTCATATCCTTGATCCTTCTGCCATGGATCACTATCACTGTTATCCCTTATGCTACGGACACATGTATAAAAAATCATAGGATAATTTGGGCTAAAAGGCATTTCTGGAAGTCATCTAATCCAACCCCCTGCTCTAAGCAGGGCCTAGCATGATTTGGTATGTGTTAGCGGCACATGAACAGACTGTATCAAAAGGGATAGCAGTTTTCTGCCATGTAGGAATAATTTACATGCATTTCCAGGCTAACTTCACATGCTTGGCTGGTGTAAAATGAATGCTTAACATACGCTTTGCTTCTACTGAAGTGGACTATCAGTGTACCAGTACTTTCCCTGTTATACAAACTGCTTGAAGCAGAAACTAAGCAGGAACTCAGATGTATAATCCACAAGGTATTAAAGGAGCAATGTAAATACCCGCATAAGGTAAATGCTCAAGTGACCAAATACAATAACAAAATTATAATCTAATTCAGAGATTGCAATTAATATGAAAATAACAAAATATAAATATATACATATATAAAATGTAACTTTCAATGCTTCAGCAGTTCTCAGAAGTTGGCAGTTCTCCTGGACAACATAATGCTGCTTTAGACACAAAAACACCTTGGCATTTTTTTTGCTTGCTGTATTAACATCTTGCAAATAGAAAACAGTTTAGAACATTTTTTCTGAAGCCCATCTTACATTAGGAAGCCTTTTTATGGATTTCTAACGCCGTATGAAAGCATTAATTTTAGGAGAGCTTTAATGACATAAACATACTGCTGGAAGCACCATGTTTTCTATCACCAAGAAACATGGGCTTCAGTAGTCTAAGTATAGGCATATTTATTCTTCCACATACATCTATCTACCTATATACACACACTATATTGATGTAAAAATAAATGAATCAATTAATTCTTAACCCACCACCGACGTAAACTGCTGAAGAAGAATACAAGAGGAAACAGAGGGAAGAAATAACTGCAGCTTGGAGTGTGACCACTCTGAGCTACCAGGCAGTCTGTGACAGTAACTGGTCTCACATTCAGCAGCCGTGGGCAGTTTCAGTAAATAAAGCACAGCTGCTTCCTGCATTTTGTCTCTGTGAACCCAAGTACACGATTAGTTGCTGCTGCACTGGTAGTCTGCAACCGTCAACCTTCTTTCCTGAAATGCCATCATGTGGGACTAAATCTAAATTCTTAATACAGCAGCAGTGTGCTTAGGGATGACAGCTCATCCAAGTTGTACATGTACTTATGCCAGGAATTCTATACTTTTTGCATCTTCCACACAAATTTACGTTCTCAAGGTTTGGAGAGCATGAGAAGTAAGAGCTCTCCATTTGAATTTAGACCCATTTCACTATTGGCTTTAAAAAGAAAGCATCCAAATCATGTCTAGCTCTACCTAACAGCCCATAAAGTAAAGATTTGAAACTAAATTTGCAACTATAACTTCCACTATCTAATATTATTATATATTATATAACGATTATATACAACTGCTCTTCTATCTATAATACAAGAACCACGAAATTGAAGCAGGATTTCTCTTTTGCATGACACAACCACTAGAAGGCAGCTCTCAGTTTCACTACCTACCACATCTTATGTAATGCTGATGTTCAGGATGTGGAAGGGAATCCAGGAGACACTAGGGGTCAGAGAGAATTCTGTAGCCCCTTAGAATCACAGAATAGAATCATAGAATAGTTAGGGTTGGAAAGGACCTTAAGATCAGGTTCCAACCCCTGCCATGGGCAGGGACACCTCGCTCTAAACCGTATCACCCAAGGCCTCGTCCAACCTGGACTTGAACATTGCCAGGGATGAAGCATTCACAACCTCCTTGGGCAACCCATTCCAGTGCCTCACCACCCTAACAGGAAAGAATTTCCTCCTTATATCCAATCTAAACTTCCCCTGTTTAAGTTTTAACCATTACCCCTTGTCCTACCACTACAGTCCCTAATGAAGAGTCCATCCCCAGCATCCCTATATACCCCCTTCAGATACTGGAAGGCTGCTATGAGGTCTCCACGCAGCCTTCTCTTCTCCAGGCTGAACAGCCCCAACTTTCTCAGCAGATCTTCATATGGGAGGTGCTCCAGTCCCCTGATCATTCTCGTGGCCTCCTCTGGACTTGTTCCAACAGATCCATGTCCTTTTTATGTTGAGGACACCAGAACTGCACACAATACTTCAAGTGAGGTCTCACGAGAGCAGAATAAAGGGACAGGATCACCTCCTTTGACCTGCTGGTCACACTCCTTTTGATGCATCTGTTGACTTTAACTTGTTCAATCTGGACAGTCAAGCAGCTATCAGCACATTCTTAACCTTTCCACATGTTTAGCATTTTGACAAATGTTCACAGCAAGCAGCACCACGCTGATCCCAAGTAACACAGTTTCAGACCCACCGAAGATTTTCCAAGTGGGCATGATTTTAACACAGTAAAACAGTTTTCCTTTTAACATGTCAAACAACAAGGCTTCCATACATATATATCCCTGTCAAACTTTTATGCCTGAAGAGCATGCTCTTCACCTTCCCAAACAGGTGAGACCTGACAAAAGCAAGTAGAAAGGCCAGAGTAACCCTTAAGAACGCTAAATGAGGATACATATGCTAGCAGTGCTTTGGGCACATGGCTGCTGTGCTCTGTTGAGCTCCTGGAAGAGTCCAATGCAATTTCCTATCCAAAATCTGAGTGTTCCAATGGCTTTACGAGTTCAGAACAACATGCCACAAATGATCTCCTAGCTGCAATATGTTAAATACAAACTGATTTTGAACATTCTAAAAGTTTATACTGAACTAAGCAAGTTTTTAGGAGACAGCATGATAAATCAGAAGCCTCTGGATTTCTGCGTGTAGTCCCTTATCCCTTCCTACCTGACTCCAAGAAGTCAGCATGTAAGTTTCTCCAACACTGTTGAACAAGCGGGAGGCAACTGCACAGGCTAAGTTGTAGGGAGAAAAAACTGACCCAAACACAAAAAAACCAAGCCCCTTGAGCAAAAAAAACAAGTCAGATTTTGTAGAGGAAGTATTTGTCTCTTCAACCACTCCAATCTGTCTTCATCTTGGCATAACATAAGGTGGGGTGGATTCCTGAGAAAGCAATGGGCCATCCACAGGTGTCTATTACATCAACCCATCAGCTTTTACACGGGCAAGTACAATCTTGATATCAGAAGCTGTTTTCTTAAAACATACATGAGCAATCTATGTGCAGATGCAATTCAGCACAGCAAGTCCTATGCATGTTTGTGATAAAGCTTTCTTCCCTACTGCAAGCAAGCCTGCAGGTAATTAAACATAGGAAATATCTTGTTTAAAAGCTTTAGTCTGAAGCTACCAGCCACAGCAGCTTCAAGCTGGAAAATCTTCTGAAAAGTGTATTGAAGAAAAAAGGTGATTTGGTCATATTTTCTGCAACTTTACTGGCATAGGTGTTCCCAAGCAGATGTCACAAACACTAAGAGATCTAACATTCTTCTGAATACAGTTTAGCCTAAAGTTTAGGTTGCAAGAACAAAACACACAGCTGACATTACGTCTCCTGTGATCAAACCTGACACAACACATTAAAACGCTAATGATCCTCTGCAGTGCCTCTTTGTTTTTAATTATGGCAAGGCCATGAAGACTCTCACTTACTTGTTAGTTTCCTAATTATTCCTGCTAGAAATCATATGCACCCTAAATATCCTTTAGAAACAGAAATGTACACATCCTTATTGAAGATCAAGTGTGCTTGCTTAACATTAGCCCAGAGACCTTTACAGGTCAGTGATTTCATGAGGGAAAACATTCCCAATCCTTTCCAAGACCAGGCAAATACCAAGGCCAGCTCATAATTCATACAATAAGCAGTATTCCACGGGTTTGCTCTGTATGCATCATGAGCATTCATGTGTTCCTGTACACAAAAATAATCCCAAAATGTTAAAATCATCTGTTACTAAAGATAATTCTTAAGGGCCATTTAATATCCATAACACTAAATTTGGAGAGGAAAACCAACACTTTTAATCACTGAATTTGTCAGTAGGCTGCACTACTGCTCTTTGTGCAACGAAGTACGTTTGCACTGAGATGTATCCCTAAGTAATATTCAGGGACGCTTACTCTCCCAGAGAGAATGGGAAGTTAATTTTACATATGTATGTATAATTTACATATATACACACGCACACACCCCCCTCTTATCTCTAGATCAAAAGGGTACTCAAATAAGACATAATGCCTGATAGTTTTCTGAAACACAAAACTACCATTAGGATCTGTGTAAAGACCTTCTTTCAGCAGCAATCATCCAAAGTCACACCACTGTTATCACTATCTAAGGAATGTTCTGGTGCACCAGAAGCTACCGAGCCAAGGTGTCTTTACTGAAACCACAAATTCTTTCTATTACAGTCATGGTTTGAAGACTACACATGCTCAAGGACACAAAGTTTTTGCCTCCATAACGATCTCTGTGCAAGGCAACCTCTAGAAGAGCTGAATTATTCAGTAGTTTTTAAATTCTCAAGCATTTCACTGCATAATTACTTTAAACTGTGTGATTATTGGGGTGAAATGTAACTTTTTTTGTTTTAAGAACAAGCATTTAAGTCATCTTCCCTCCTTGCCCCAGATCTTTCGGATTACTTTTGGTTCATACGCTTTTGGAACAGAAATTTGTATTTACAAACACCCCCACCCCCCAAAAAACCCAAACTGAACTAATTTGATGGCTTAATAATGTGACAAAGCTCAATAAACACCCAAAACAACCAAAACACTTGCTCACCAGAGTATTGCTCTTCTTAATATCTTCTAAACGCTCTAAGACTGAAGTCAGGTTTGGGTCATCTGATTCTACAAACCATATTGGTGATGAAGAGGGGTAAGACTCCTGTTAAAAAAACAACACAAAAGACCCAACAAATAAATAAACAAAAAAAAAAAAACCAAACTATAAAGCTTTTAAAACTCATTCACCCCAAAAATTCCACAACACAGCATTAACATCACCTTTTATCTCACTCTTAAGTCAGCTAACAGAGAAGCTCTTAACACAGCAGTTTTAGGCAACGCAAGAGAAGCTGAAAGAAATCCAGCCAACTGGTTCTTCTCGTATTTCATCCTATTTTCATCTTTATCAGATGATGGACATAGATAAGAAACAGTGCTGAAAAGCTTAAAACCCTGGGGATAGGTGGAGCAGGAGGGACAAATGTAGGAATGTTGTAGATGTAATCATTACCAAACTATGAAATCACAACTAGGGCACATCAAAGAATAAAACTAGATGGGTGCCCGTTTGTCATAAAAACAGATTCTTCCAAGTAAAAGCTGTGAAGACAACAACACCTGGAGCCTTCAGACTGCCTTCTCAAACAGCACCATTCAAACCATTCCAGCACTGGCCCTCAAACTGAGGCAACACAGCTCAAGTCCATCACACAGTCCATCCACAGCTCCTGCCTCATAGGACAGACTAACACAGAGATCATGATTCCAAAAATCTGCAATTTGATCTTTGTACCATCAAGGCTCATAGAGGACTTTCCACTATTGAAAGATTACTCAAGCAATATATTGTGCACAAGTCTATCGGGAAAGCTTACAGACTAACTCTCTTCTATCATTAAAGTTCTATAGGTGTCAGGCAGGTGCCAAAACACATCTGAATGACAGTGAGATCAGATGGGTTCACAGGATTAGAAGTAGAGATGATTTTGCAGAACAAGTCACAGTTAGGGCACTTACAACACATGGAACAGGTGTGGCCCACAACCGCTCATACAATCCATGACAAGTGATTTCCCTCTCACTCAGCTGCCACGGCATGCAGCCTTTCCAAAGGTGCTCGGAAAACGCTTGCTATGGAAAGCAGACAAAGTCATTTGCCTCCTTTCTAGAGGCTTCAAAACGCAATTCCACTTTTTTTTTTCCTAACACGTTTGGTAGCGCTGTGAGGATGGAGGAAACCACGTAGCTTCCAGCTCAACAGCAAGTGTCCCTTCATATCACTGACAGGTTTGGATTACTTTATTTTCTTTTGGTTAAGGCATTCTCTACTTCTCACCCATTTAATTAAATTCTAGTAGCTGAGGACAAATTGCTGAACCTCAGTTTTATCACCCAGATATTATCTTCATATCCCCAGGTCTTACTAAATAGCAGGAGGGAATTTTCATTCATTTCCCTCACTGCAGTTTAAAGGAAAAATTCCATATTTCTCATTCCAGCAGCAATAAATCATGCTTTATTCTCCAGCACTTAAGAATCCAGGTTCCTACTGCTACTCTAATAGCTGACTCCACCACATACTTACGAACCTACACTCTTTCTCGACTGCATTATTTTTTGCTTTTAGTTTTCAAGACAACTGTAATAAACTTCACAGGAGGAAGACAACATCCCTGCCTGAGTAGTAACACTACTGGGCATTAGTGATTCCCAAGCAAACTTAGCCTTAGCAACCTCTCAAAGTTCAAGTCCCAAAAGAAGAATCCAGACCTTCATAACCTAAACTAGCTCCTGTCATTTCAAAGATGCTGGGTTTATCAGACCGCAGAACATGAAGCATTTGAAAACTAGACAAAAAGACAAGCATGTTACAACTGGTATTGAATGATACAAAGCTTACTGCCTAACTGACCTTCCAGCTGAAGAGCTGAACCTCCTAACAGAAACTGTGTGATTAGATCAAGGACATCAGCTTTGGCAGAACAGACCATCACACTCCAGGGATGTTCTAGCTCCAGAAGTCTAAAATCCCTGCCTGAAAACTGCAGCCTTTGCATTAACTTATTTCTCAAGCTCAATCCCCCCAGGTTTATATTTATTTTTTAAATCACAGCCAGCAAATACCTTTGGAAAACACAATATTCCTGGTATCTTTACGTAAAGATGAACTGGTTATGTCCTTTAGCTTCCCTTCAAGGCACACACAGACCAAGCAGAGACCTTAGGATACCTATTCTTGATAGGCAAAAAGGTTTAACTCCCATCTGCCACTCGGGACCCAAGCTAGTATTTTTTAGGAGCTACACTCCACTAAAATCATTCCAGGTTTTGTACCGGTATCGTCTCACTCTCACTATTCTTAATAACATGCAACCCACCTGTGAAGTCTTCTGCAGTAGTGCAATATTCTTACCTCAAAACCTTCATATTGCATGCTGGATCTTTATGCACAGGACAAAATCAGAAGGGAAACTCTGCTGTGACCCTAATGCCCAAAGACTTGTTTGAACCAGCTAGTTTTGTGGCCTGAACTGCTCTGGCTAGCTCATTCCATTAAGGGAAATGAAATAGGGTAAACACTACTAGCATGACTTGAGATTGCACCAACATCCCCCATTACTAAATACAAAGAACAAACAAAATCCCTTCCAAGACTTACTGAGCCATCTGCTTCTTGAAATCTTCATTAGGATAAAAATATTCTCCAGATACAGTCAACATTTGAAACGTGCATTCTCCCAACAGTTATTTTTGGCCTTTTTTAATCAAGCATTTTTATGTATGTTAGTCCAAGCAAATCCATTAATTGCAATGATTTCTGTAAGATAGATGTCTGTCAGTCTATTTCTCAAAACTGAACCTGGAATCTGATGCTGCTTACAGAGTAAAGCTCAACTCTTCACTGTCTACATTCTTTTCTGACAACTCTGTTTCTCCTCTACCCACCAGAAAGGATTTAATGAACGAACCCACTGTAGAACATTTGCTGGTTCCAATCAGAGTCCCTCCCAGTCTAGGGGCCTACAGAAAAATCTCTTCCAAAACACTTGCAGCAAACCCTTTGTCAGATCGGGACCTGACTGATAGTGCAGATCTGATAAACAAGCAATCCCACTATGTGTTTAATTACAGTGGCTGCTTGAATGTGCTGATGCCTTCTGTCCTGAATGACAGGCCTTCCTCTCTCTTAGCTCTCATTCCAACTCATTCCATTTTTTGCAATGAAGGAAAAAACTTCCAGTTGGTGGCAACACTTGCTAATTCTTCAGACTTACAATGAGTATGTTCACTGAACTTAAAAATGCATATGGCACTAAGATGCTCAGGGTCTGTAAGCTGTATTTTTGGAACAGCTGAGTTTCACATGGAAATGAGTCACTATATTTTGAAACAGAGAACTCGCATACAAAATTCAAACATTCTGATCTCGATATTTAAACAAGCTCATGAGTTTGTAACACCATAACACGCAAATGAAAACCTGATGTGGCTTGTAAGGTCAAACACCTGAACTAAGCACAAGCTAATTCTGTCAAGAGACTTAAGTCAGCTTTTCCTTCCATATCTGCACCCTGTAGAGAGATGGATTTAAGTTGTTATGCCAGGCAAGGAACACAAGCTTCTCAAATATAAAAGCAGCACTTTGAGAGAGGAACCCTAGAATAGTAATTATTTTATCACTATTAATTCTCAGTGGCTAAAACCCCATCACTTTTGGCCTTCCACAACACACCTGACATACAGTGATGTTGTGTAATTAGCTTAGCTGCACAGGTATCACCCATATTAAGTGTTTGAGATCTTTTATGTAACTGCTGTAACGTGACATTTTCCTGCTCTCTAGAAGTAAAAGCAAAAATTCACCACAGGCGGCAAAGGCCCCAATGCTTCCACAGGCTAATGCATGCTATACAGCTTGGAAAGCAAATGCAACTGCTCAGTAAGACATGACATCACATCTCGCATGTACCGAGGCCCCAGGACAAAGGCTGGATGTTTACAGCCAACTCAGATACAATTCATGGGATCATCACTTCTAGAGAGTCTTTGTATTAACACCAGGACAGACTGGGAGCTTTGTCAACACAAATGCTTCTGTGACAGAATGCAGCAAAAGAATTTAGCCTGCTAATAAACACACAGAATACAAAGAGACTAAAGCCCCGTGCTCCCACCACTGGAACAGTTTCCAAACCTATCGAATCATTTAGGAAAACCAGGGTGTATCACAAGAATCCACACAGCATCTCACTGCTCAGATGTTCCACTGCATCCTCCATAAAAGGGTCTACTTATATTTTACTAACAATTTTGCTTACCAAAAAAAACAATGGCAGCAAAAAGTGACAGCAGATACCAGAAACACATACATTAAGACAGCTTTTCCCAGATACAGATCTGTCAGCTAAGTATATCCTATCTAAGCTTTCTCATCCTTAACAAAAGCCTGTTTTACTTGCAGTGTTATATAATCTTTATCCTGTTCTGTAAAGCTACAGCAACACCATTTTGATGTAAGAGACTTTAAATGAGCTCTATCTAAATCACACCATTTCAACAGTATTGTAGAAGTTCCTAAATGAAAACACATTATGCTCAAATCCCTACAACTAGCACAACCTGTACACACAGTTTGCTATAAGGTAATAGTGTAACCATGTCTCTCCTTGTACACAACAGAACCATTTTGTCACAGCCAAATGGCAGGACAGCAGGTTTAAACACAGGTCTTCAGCATCACCATGCAAATATCACAATTACACCCTGATAGATCTTTTCTTTAATTTCCAAATCATGTTAGATTAAAAAAAGGGGGGGGAGGGCTTTCCTTTTAAAACTCCTTCATTACTGGGTGAACAATGCTCAACCAACTGAATTTCTTTTTCATTCTAAGCTTTTGCAAAATTTCCATCACTGACAGAACTCAGTTCTGTCCTTACACCAGCTACAACTAAAACTTAGCTGATTTTCATCAGCATTTTCACCTTGATTCTTCTTGGTCCCAAAATGTTTTGTCCACCTGCCTTTAGTTCCAACCAGCAGAAGGTCAAACCCACAGATCTTTTAAACAGATTAACTGCTCTGAGAAGGCAAGCAGAAGACTGCTCTAGTTCACACAACTCCAGGTGACAAAGTTAGCCAATCCTACCGTAGTAAGAC